AGTTAATACGTTTCGTTTCATTGAACATATATCTAACCAGATCCTCAATATTTGTTTAGAGACTAATAAATTTTCGTAGAGAAGAGAAACAATAGAAACACATCAAAACCAAACTTTCCAAAATTATAAAAGAAAACCAGAAAACAAAAATATTTCCAAAAAAAATTTCGTTGCTTGCCTCCTTTCTTCGCAACCAAACATAAATAACAAAATGAAATTACATTACAAAAAAAGGGGGAAAAAGGAAAGAAAAAACCTGATGTCTGATTACACAAACATGTTATGGCTTTTGAATTCGAGAAAGTTAAATCTTATGCCTAATGGTCATATATCTAAGGGTGTGTTTGGTTCAAGTTATCTCACATTACTGGGAGAATGGAATGTCATTCCCCCGTTTGGTTGGCAAACATTCCCAACCCTCGATAATCTTTTATTCCCAATAGTCGTATATTGGCGCATCGTCGGCCCCCATCCGCTTCCCTCCCGATAATTTCAAGCACTCTTTGACTCTCTTTTCAAAGTCCTTTTCATCTTTCCCTCGCGGTACTTGTTCGCTATCCGTCTCTCGCCCGTATTTAGCCTTGGTCGGAATTTACCGCCCGATTAGGGCTGCATTCCCAAACAACCCGAGTCGTAGACAGTGCCTCATGGTGCGACAGGGTCCGGGCACGACGGGGCTCTCACCCTCTACGGCGCCTCTTTCCAGGGGACTTGGGCCCAATCCGTCGCTGAGGACGCTTCTCCATACTACAATTCGGATGCCGATGGCGACCGATTATCAAGCTGAGCTCTTTCCGGTTCGCTCGCCGTTACTAAGGGAATCCTTGTAAGTTTCTTTTCCTCCGCTTACTGATATGCTTAAATTCAGCGGGTAGTCCCGCCTGACCTGGGGTCGCGATGCCAAGAGGGTCATAGAGTCCAGATCGACGAGCGCGCACGACTCAGAACGAGGCTGCTCAAGGCATTACCACCGATCGTCGCGGCAACGTGACGTCGTGTACTCAATTTTAGACCAATCGTGAGCGTTTTGTGCACGGGAGGCCAATTTATGCTTACACCTCGATCGATACCCTATGGTTCGGGTTCGTATGGGGGCAACGATGCGTGACACCCAAGCAGACGTGCCCTCGGCCTAACGGCTTGGGGCGCAACTTGCATTCAAAGACTCGATGGTTCACGGGATTCTGCAATTCACACCAAGTATCGCATTTCGCTACGTTCTTCATCGATGCGAGAGCCGAGATATCCGTTGCCGACACCGCCAGCATATTTAGCTTCCTCGTCGCCGTTCGCTCAAAACCCAACCGGTGGGTCACGTCGTAGTCGTCGTCTTCCGTCGTGGGTAAGCTTTGGTGTTAGGATTTGGGCTTTTTTGTAATTTAAAAGAAATAAGGGTTTTTTATAAATATAATAATATTTTTAATATTTTTTTAAAAATAAATTTTTAAAATTATCAGACTGTGACACGTGTAACTTAATGGAGAAAACTAATTGTCTGTCACGGCGTGACCCATTTTGAGTAACAGAATGAAACGTTAGGCACCAAACTGAAACGAAAAACAACGTTAGGCATTAAAATGGAAAAACGGGCATACGTTGGGCATGTTGAAAAATTATAAATCTTTGAAAAATACTTGATGAAACGGATTTAGAATCCTGCATGCCCTTTACAGTGGTAGGTGGAGGCAGATTCTCAATTACTTCCACCTTGGCTTTGTCAACCTTGATGCCTTGGTGAGAAATTTTGTGTCCCAACACAATTCCTTCAGTCACCATAAAGTAACATTTCTCCCAATTTAGCACAAGACTGAACTCCTCACATCGCTTCAGCACTTTAGATAAATTGTCGAGGCATCGGTTAATGTCATCACCTGAGATGGAAAAATCATCCATAAATATTTCCAAGTAGTTCTCCACCATGTATGAGAAAATGGCTACCATACATCTTTGGAAAGTTGTCGAGGCGTTACATAGTCTGAACGACATTTTTCGAAAGGCATAGGTTCCATATGAGCAGGTGAAGGTGGTATTCTCCTGATCTTCAGGTGCTATGGCTATCTAGTTATACCTAGAAAATCCATCAAGGAAACAGTAAAATTTCTTGTCTGCTAACTAATCAAACATCTGATCAATGAAAGGAATGGGAAGTGGTCTTTTTTGTCTCATTGTTAAGATTTCTATAATCCATACAAATTCGCTCGCCTATGATGGTTCTTGTAGTTAAAAACTCATCATTTTTATTCTTTACCACAGTCATGCCACCTTTCTTCGGTACGCATTAAATCGGACTAACCCAAGAGCTATCGGATATGGGATAGATTACCCCAACATCGAGCCATTTTATGATTTCCTTCATCACCATTTTTTCATTATAGGATTAAGTCTTCTTTGGGGATCCACTAAATTGCTACGACACTCATCTAGCTGGATCAAGTGCATGCATTTGGTAGGGCTGGTTCCCTTCAAGTTTGTCATAGTCTACCCGAGATGTTTTTTTACTATGACAAAACATTACTACCCTCATGCCACCAAGGGAAAATCAATTGTTGTTATCTTACTTAAGCCGGTCTTGAATGCTTTCATTTATTGTCTTTGGGAGTAAGAAATAGGAGAGTTTTTGGTGGTTTGCAAAGGAGGGTGGATTATGTACCGGCTACTATCAAGGAGACCATTCGCTCCAAGCTTCACGGGGTTACGTTTGACAAAACTGTGTATAGGAATTTGTATACAGATTGGGGATTAAACTGATTATCGGGTTTTGTGTTTGATGCTCTTGTTTCTTGTATCAGTTTATTTATCATGTGCGACAGTCTTATAATACGATTAAAAAAATCGTTATGATTTTGTTGTTATTTAAATAATAAAATCGGTAAAAAAATTATCGAAAACATTATTATTTTTATCGTTTTGTTATTATTGGACGTTTTACCGATTTTGTTATTGTTTGGCACTTTACCGGAAATGTTAAAAAATATTGATATTTTAAGTAGAAATAATAATATTTTAGGAAATTTTTTATCGATTTTGTTATTTAAATAATATAACACAACCGATAACGTCTTTTTTAACTATTTTTCTTAGCTATAATACATACATTTTATCCGGTTTAAATAATTTTGTAACCAATAAATAAGTAAAACATAATTTTTTTCAAGTTAAGAATAATAGGAAAGATCAACGGATAAGACAAAAATCGGAAGGCCGAAATGCTTGCCCTTTTAAATGGATTGGCGTGAGTGCACTTTTGATCCTATTTTATTTCAAATTCAATTTAAATAAAACATTATCTTATAAGTTAGGTTGTCGATTTTGAATTTTGTTGTTATCCCTACGCTAGACCAAACAAATTTAAAAATGTCTGGAATACTATCATGTTTAAATTAGGGGGAAAACATATGAAGACAACTTACACATCATGTTTGGTACTTGGGTAAACTACACGTGATCCCTTATATTTTTGTTCCGTTCGATTTGATTAACAGTTAAAAAAAAGATCGATTTTGATCTCTTATATTATTGATTTAATATATCTTGTTCATTATGTCGTTAATTCTCATTATCTAGAAATAGAAGTGACTTGACATTAAAAATAAAACTCACCTAAGTGACCTATTTTAATACACGTGGGTGTGTATTTCACTCTCGGATAGAGTTAAACATCAGCTCAAATTAATTTCATGAAATCCAAGAATAAGAGATATCGGATTTTTTCCACTAATTTGGGAAGATTATAAAGTAATATACGACAATGTTTTCCTTTGCACTCATAGTTGTAAGTTAAACTCCTCTCTTCCTAAGTTTTTGATTGACTACAAGTACATAACCAACAAGTGGTGGTTCAAACTAAGGCCCATTTCCTCTCTATCTCTTTGATTGGTGATTTATCTTTGATGCTCCCTGTGTTTATGCAGGTTGGTTTTCAATTTCGTCTTATTTATTTGTACAAGGGTTTTCAACTGTTGATTAAATTGTCAATTATCTGGCTTTATGATTCGCTCCTTCCTTGCTGGTTTGCCTGAAGCTGGGATCTTAACCTCTGGTTTAAGGCTCATCACGAAAGCAGCCTTTGAAAAATCTGAAGATGGCGTTCGTAAAGAACTTTCTCTCGGGGTGAAATACACATGCATAAAGTTAGGTGACTTTTGTTTTATTTGTCTTTTTGACTCACTCGAATGGACTTCGAGTTGTAATTTCATAAACTCGACTCAATTCGGAAAATTTCAAATTCAAGTTGAGTTATAAAATAGAACTCAAATAACTCGAATAGTAATTTTATTTTTTTAGTAATTAATGATTGATTTTCAAGTTTGAGTCGAGTCCCTCGACTCTGTATGACATATGTATATCACATATGAAAAAAAATATTAAAAAAATATATATGTATTATTTATGATTATAACAAACCGTTTAAACCACAATCAAATAATATCATAATATTATAAATGTTTTATAATTAAATTTAAACAAAAAGTCGAACAACTCGACTCAAATTTTAAAATTGACTTGACAAATTTCAAATCAAATTTGAGTTATAAAATAGGACTCATTAAATAACTCGAAAATTTTTTACTCGACTTGATCGAACGCTCACCACTAGGACCAATAATGTAGGGACCAAAACCAATCTTTTTTTTGAATCGATGACCAAAATTGAATGGACTAAAAATATAAGGGACCACCCGTTTAGTTTACCCGAAATATTTCATGTTTTCACATTAAAAATGTATAATGTAAAATTTATAAGTGACCACCCGTTTAGTTTACCCGAAATATTTCTTATGAACATATTAAACGAAATTATTATTAATATAATAGTGAATGTAAATATTTCCATTTAATTGGTTGAAGAGTTATAGAGAGAATTTAGTTTATTTTTTCTTGGAGGACCAAAAATAATATAATCAAAATTTTAAACGTAAATTACTATAGTCATAAGTGCAAAAATTATCCAAAATTCCAATAGACATGAAGACAGGGTAAATATATAGGTGTTGGGAGAGTTCCATGGTCCTAGATGAGTTCAGCGGTGGCCGAATCTACGGCTGCCTGGGCCTGTTGTGAATCAGGTTTTGCCCGGTGGCTGAAGTAGATGAATGTTCTAAGTTAGTTGCCGAACGGTAAAAGTTTATGCCTGGATTAGGCTGAACCCCTATTCCATGCAGTGAAGCTGGATGAATATTGGGGTTAAGTGTTGGTACTTGAGGTGTATAGGAGTTGGTAACTAGTCCATCAGTCCGAGCACGCTTATTGCTTGGCCCGTGCAGTCGAGCCACCGGAACGGAACCATGGATCATACCTTGGAACTGCTGTGGAGGTCGAGTCATCGGACTGGAAGCATAGGTAAACTGCTCATGCCATTGAGTACCTGTAGTGAAAGTATAGTTCCCACCGTGAAACTGCTGTTGGACAGGAGGAACGGGACTCGAATGATTCCCCGGGACAGACGGGCCGGTGTTACATGTTGTCCTGCCATGTACATTCGGTTGAACTGCAGAAAATGTCAAGTTCAGCTTTTGCTTTTCTAGCTCGGCAATGGACTTCTCAATGACCTCAACCGGCATATATGATTCGAGCTTACAATCCTTGACACATTCGATTACAGATTTCAATGAAGCGATCCATTCATCTATGGCCTTCTGCTGTGAAAGATGATTTGTATCATTTAAAAACTGTCTTGAGGAAATATAAACATGTCGATGAATCATAAGACATTACCTGAACTTCGGGCGAATTCTTCCCGATCTTGCAGCGATCACAAGCCGCTCTATTTATATCCTCCAAGAATAGTTCTAAGAGCCGTTTTGGTGGGCACTTATCCTTGCAATCAAGTGCACAGACAAATCTAATTGCTTCAATATATTGCTTTCTTGCAATTAGACTACCAACGAAGTCTGTTACATAAAAATATATTAGGTTGCTTAACTAGATTCTCCGAATCAACTCTAGTCGATACATGTTCGGAATTAACTACAGATGAAGAGCACGGTACTTCATATGCATAAAAGATGAGAATTGTTAAGACAGACAATACATGTTCATAACTTCATATGTCTAAGCACCTGCCTATGCATAGTCAACATATAGCAGATGCCTACATGCACAGACACAAAGAAAATGGTACTGTTAATGTATCGGTTCCTATACGCAACCAAACAAGGAAATGAAAAGGATTCAGTAAATTTACCAGGAATCATATCTGTAAAACCAAGGATCTGGCATACATTTCGAGCCTGTTGGTGTTGAGCTGTAGTAGCAAAAAGTTTGAAGATTTCATCTCTATTGAACGAGGGTGCTAACCCAAAGGCAGCAACAAACTGCAAAAAACACAACATTTCGATGGAATTTTCGGCACTCGGTTTCAGCTCCGTTTTCCACTCCTTTGCCAATGTCAATGCATCTGATTTCACCTTAGGTTGTACATGGGATGAGACTTGAAAAAGTTTCTCCAACATAAGAAGAGATATCTTGAGAAAACTTTCTTCAAATCCTGTCCCATCCTTTTTCTTATGTTGAGAAGATATCCCAAGCATTAGATCCAGAACAAACTTGGCTGGATCCGGTGACATTTGAAGAGCACTCAGAACTTCATCCTTTCTCAAACCAGGCTCTTCTAGATGCTCATTGAGGACACTTTGCAAAGCCATTCCATCCATTGTAGCACCAACTACAAGATCAGCAGTTGAAGCTTCACTCACATTGCAAATGATAAAATTTTCCCGAATTTCTTTCTTGATTTGATTAGTGACTGTGTTCGCTAAGCACAAGCAATATAGAAAAGAAAATAAATGAATTTAATAAGAAAGTAAACTTTCTAAATTCTCAATTGCAATTCCTAAGACATTTATAGCAATGTCACATTATTTCTATACGAGTTTTGCATACTGAAAGTACTTTAATGGTGTTGAAAGGAGGGGGAAAAGCAGAACTTCCATACTAATCATGTCACATACAAGCCACCAAGATTTCTCATTTTTCATGTTGGCCACAGGTAGTCAGTTTAACTGTGACTTTGATCCCTTCAACAAAAATAAACTATGGCTTTGATATAGTAAACACGGTGAGATAAAGAAACTGAAAGAAACAGAGGAAGAGCATGTCCTATGATGCTCCACAACCACATTGAGAGAACGAAACACATCTGTAAACGGGAATGGACATAATTTTTCAAAGATACTCCAAATAAATGAAATGACTTAGAAAAAAAAATTAAACATACAAGAGTCAGCAATATATCAATACCTGAAACTCATGCAAAAGTCTGAGTAACATAGCTATCAATGGATCGAAATAGAGAACATACCTGATTCTGTGTTAGTGATTCCAAGGGCATGTGTGTCGAAAGAACGAGGATTCTCACTGCTTGCTTGAGAGTGAAGGGCATTAGTTAGTTTCTTCTCTTTCAATTCAAGTTCTTTACTTCTCTGTTCAACAGATTTTTTGACTGAATCAAATTGTTTTTCTTTGAGTTCAAACTCCTTGACACGAGCTTCAAATTGCCTCTTTTCTGTTTCTAATCCATCCAAACGTTCTTCCAATGATCTTTTAAGTGATCCAATATGCTCATCCTTCACACCAGCCACCTGTAGGCATTCACCACCTACATTTTCAACTAAATTCAGTGGCTTCTCTTCGGATTTAAGCACACAAAGGAGTTTCTCCAGAGATTTTTGAATTTCTTGAAGCTGCTGTTGTTTTGATTCAAGTTCCTTGGTGCACCCCAAGATTGTGTTTTTAATTGAGGTAAGTTCACCCTCCTTTGCTTCAAGCTGCTTGGTACATCCTTCGACTGACATTTGGACTGAGCTGAGTTGTTTCTCTTTTGAATGGAGCTCTTCCTCCTTTGCTTCAAGCTGCTTGGTGCATCCTTCAATGGATATTAGGACCGAGCCGAGTTGTTTCTCTTTTGAATGGAGCTCTTCCTCTTTTCCTTGGAGCTGCTTGGTGCATCCTTCAATCCATATTTGGACCGAGCTGAGTTGTTTCTCTTTCGAATGGAGCTTTTGCTCCTTTGCTTCGAGCTCCTTGGTGCATCCTTGGATCAACATCTGGATTGAGCTGAATTGTTTCTCATTCGAATGGAGTTCTTGACCACGTTCTTCAATGCACATTTGTACAGCACTGAATTCTTGGTTTTTCAATTCAATATCCTTGGAATATCCTCCCAACCTTGCTTCGACCGATTCGAGCTCCTCCTTTGTTGATTCAAGCTGTTTTTCATTCCTCGCAATCAATGCTAACAGTGAATCAAGTTCATCATTTCTTGAATTAAGCTCTTGCAACCGAGCACAAACTTTTTCATCAATCAACCTCAGTTTCTTCTCGAAACAATCGAGTTTAGCAGCATGAACTCCAACAACATTTTCAAGTGCTTCATAGTTTTCCTTTTTGGCTTCAAGTTCTTCCTCGTAATCCTGAATCAAGGACTTGATGGAATCCAACTTTTTCTCATTCTCTCCAAGTTCATTCTGTTTCACATACAGTTGATTAGTACATTCATTGATCGAGTTTCGGAAACATGCCAACTCCAACTCCTTCCCTTCCAGCTTATTGCAACATTCACTTATAGAATTCTGCACTAAACACAATTGCTCCTTCTTCAAACAAAGCTCCTTAGAACAATCATCAACCGATTTCATAACCGAATCCAGCTCGCCGCTTTTCGAGTTAAACTCCGACGAACAATCCTCGAGCAATTTCCGCATCTAATCGATTTCCTCTTCTTTAAACTTAATCTCAACATTGCATTCTTCAACCTTCTTACTCAACACGCTTAATTCACTTTTCTTCAAACCCATCTCTTCTTCTCTTTCCCTCAATACTCCCATCCTACTTTCCACCTCCCTTTCTCGAAACTCAACAACATCCAATCGTTTCTCAATACTCTTCTGAATCGAATCGAAATGATCCTCTAATTCTTTCCACTGTAAAGTGAAAAACAGAACAGAAGACGCTTGAGAACTGGCTAGCTCAAGCGACTTACGAAGGTTCTCCCTCTTCAACTCACCGAGTTCCCGCTCTTTCTGAAGATCCTCCATTAAAGCAAAAAAAAACCCAAACACAGTAACCTTTCCACAGTTCAAAAGAAAATGTAAAGCAAATGCAAAAACATAGATATACTAAGATGACAAAGCAAAAGCAGATTTGAGGCTGAAAAGGACAAAGAAAAACAGAAGGGACGAACCGAGTTGAGATTCTTCGTGAAGTTTAAAAGAAAGGGAGAGTTTTGTTGGGTTGCATGCATGCTTCTTCAGTGTAGTGTAGTGTAGTGAGTGGTGGGCGAGTTGGACTCTGGAACTTCTGTAACCGACCAATTCATATCTATCCATCTCTAGTTCTGTACCCTTTAATGTTTCAAATGGCTTAAAACAGTAAATTTGGTATGTTTACTTGATTGATTTGAAATCTTTTACCAAAACTGGAAAAATTAATTTAACTAATCCTTAACCTTTTTATATTAAATTAACTCCTATATTTAGAGGTGGCAAACGAGTCATTTAGATCGAATTTTGATCCGGTCATTTCGAGTCTAGATTATATTCAGTTTAATTTGTCCTTTTCAATTCGGACCAACCTTTGGATCGGGTCAATTCGGGTTGAATCGAATATGAGCCCAATTATATATAAATAGAATTATTGATATATTCTTGTAAAAAATATGTATATTTATTTGTCAATCTTACCATTTAGGCTCAATTTCAACTTTTAATTGTCCAATATTTTGAATTAGACCATCCTCTAGAGATGATAATTTGACCCAAACTCGATTTTATAACTCGTGTTAAAGTTTGTAATTTGAATTTTATATTGACATGATTCGAAAAATTTATAGTGATAACTATTTGGTAAAAAATCTATTATAAATTTTATTCTCAATTAAAATTTTCAATTATATGTTTAATTATAAATTTACTATTTTACTGAATTTAAAAAAATAATACCCAAGTAAATTTTTTAAATATTTTTATTAAACTATTAATATTGTTTAAATTAATTTATCATTTGAAATAACTTTCATCTTAAGTGAATATATATATATAGAGAGAGAGAGATTGAGATATATATAGAGCTTAAGATTTGTATTTTATGTTAATTTATGTTCGTAAAAAATAAAATTTCTTTTTTAAAGTTAATTATAATATATAATCTAAGTGATCGATAATTAAAATTAATCATATAAAATAAAATTTTGGTAGTACCTTGACTTTATAATCCTTCATATCAATTTTTTTTTAATTTTTTAATAAATTATCATATCAAATATGGAAATGACCTTTTAAATGAGAGAAAATAATATTAAATCATTAAATTATTATCAAATGAGATACTACTAGTCATTAAAATATTATCAAAGGTGATGATTAACTAGTAATATAATGTAAAAAAAGAATAAAACATGCACCATTTTATTATTCATCATATTATTAGTAAATATATAAAAACAATAAATTATTTAGTCACTTTTACTCATTTATCGTGTTAAAAATAGGGTCAACATTCGGTTCGGATTGGATTTGGATAAATTAAATTAAGATTGTTTTCGGTTTGAGTTGCTTTCGGATAAGGTTAAATTTAGTTTGGGTTCTTTCAGTTAGGATTAATGTTGGTTAGAGTTTCTTTCGGTTTGGGTTGTTTTCAATTCAGGTTAATTTTGATTTGGGTTATTTTCGATTCGTATCAAATTGAATATGTGTCTGTATTGGGTCAACTAAATTTCGAATCGGATATGGTTTGGGTTTCAGATCAAGTTTAGTCATCATATTTAGGTTAATATCACGTATCAGGTCGGGTAAACTGGTTCAAGTCAACTTTGTCGGATCTACCTATATTTAATAATAAGTTTAACCAAATTAATCCTTTGCTTTTTATAATAGTTTATAATTTAAGGCTAGTTTGGTTCTATAAAATTCATAGTCAATTTGATCAAATTGTTAGATTTAGACTATTAACTCAAAAAAATTAAGCGTTACTCTAGTCAAGTTCATTAAATTTAGGCTTAATATAAAAATATGTGCCTAAATTACACTCAAAATGACTTTTGGGTCTAAAAAATTTCGTTAAAATATATATCAATATTTTCTTGTACACTTTTAAGTGTTACCATTCAAAAAATTGACACGTTCAATTTTTTTAAATTATTTTAAAATAATATTTTATTTTTTAAAATAAAAAAAAATTGACATGTGTCACTTAACGGATTTTTTAAGGTAGACACATAAAAGTATAATAGAAAAAAACATTAGACACGTATTTTTGTTTAAGGTAAACACCTAAAAGTATGATAGAGAAAACATTAGACACGTATTTTTAACAAAAAATTCTTTAGACACCACAAGTGTCTAATACTTTCTATTTTTTAATTGCCAACTCAAGTTTTCGTTAACGAGTTAATGGGAGTTAACGACAAAAGGACTAAAATCAAACGAATTGCTAACATAAGGGGTCAAACACACTTAATTTTTAAACAGGTGACCAAAGTCTATCAGACCGAAAACAAATGAGACTATTTGTATAGTTTACCCTATTTATTATTGTCAAAGTTATTTAATATTAAAATTTTCCTTTTCACACAACTAGCCCGTTGAACGGGTTACGAGAGGCCTCCCCGATTAGACCTCTACGATTTTTTTTAACCATTGTTGATATGCCTGGATTTATAGATCATCAGTTCCTGGACGAACTAGTTGAACCAGTCCGATCATCGGTTCCTAGTTGTCCGGGCATTGTTGAATGCCAGTTCAACACAGTGAATGCCCATTGCTGAATATCACAGTCAAATATACAGGAGAACTCAACAACAAAGGTTTTTCTTATACCCGAAATATCCCATAAATTTCTTCAAATAGTATTTCTTGTACCTGAATTTCAGATAATTCTGAATGGGATTCTGTTACTTCTCATCATGCTTTAGATTAGCACTTAGAGCATGTTCGAAACCCGGATGATTGGTGACGCATCTCCCGTAACGTGCTTGTCAAGCCTTTATCCGAACCACAAATGAACCTGGAGTAAACGCAAGATTATAGTTATGAAAAAGTTCATATTAAATCTGTTCAAACATCCAGCAATTATGTTTAATTTCTACCAGAAACATGTCAAGATCGTTGATTAAACTACAAATAAGGGCAAAAAATCAAAAGATGTATTCAAAACCAAAGAAAAGTAAATGTCAGGTTTTCATGGGCTGGCATTATCGCTTTTGCTCATTCCGTATTTCTTTGTCAGCAACACCATTCCTTTTTTTCTAATTTCTACGTTAGAACTTAGAATATGTAAGGTTTATAAGAGAACTCAAAACTAATTTGCTTCATGTATTAAATAATACCGGCTAATTTCCTTAACCGAATCAAAATCATTTACAATTTGAGTTTCTCAAAACATGGTTAATAAATGTTTGGAAAAGGGTAATAAATTTTATCAGCAATAATCAAGTAGGTAACTCACATGCAGGAAGGTTGGACATATCGGCAGAAACCGCACAAGGTATTCCCAAGTTTGAAAGAGCTCCCCTTATGATTCCGCATGGAAAATACAGATGCATGCTTTGCACAGCCTTGTTGTCAGCCATGATAGAAAGCTCCTCGGATGTTCCATTTTCAGGTGATTGCTCAATTGACATGCGTGTAAGCCAACGAAAACGATTATCTTGCAATACAAAAGTGCCCTACAAGACAAGTGTAAATCATTTCTTAAAATTCCATTATCACACAGTTTTGGTCCGTTTCAGTTCCTAAACATACCCTATGATTTGTCTTCAAGTTGTCTATTTGCTTCTTGAAGAGTTCAAACCAAAAATCCTTGCAGATGAACTTGATTGCTTCTAAATGATCACTAAAACGTGGCCTCTCCATCGTATACCTGATAACGACTAAACTTTGTTATTACAACTCATATTATCTTAACCTCACAAAAAAATTGAATATCTGGAAGAATCATTTATAACTTATGTAGTTAATCAAGCCCAAAGACATCAAAATGCATTTCATCAAATAATTACTTACGAGCATACTTCTTAAATGGTCATCATAAATAAAATTTTGATGTCGGACAGCATACAATACCAAGATAAAACGTGAAGAGATCATTAAATAAGACAAGAAGTTTAAAAATAAACCGGATCAGACGTTGATCAATACCTTGTTCTATGTATTACCTTAAAATGATCAAACCTTTTAGGATTTGAGTATAAACAAATGCATACAACTTAAGAAGAGCCTTCAAGACTGCAAACCAGATTATCTGAATTTTTAATCTCCATAGCATTTAGCTAACTTTACATCATGACATTCAGGTGAAAATGAAATTGGCAAGATGATCAATGACAACGATTCCAAGCAGTGCCGATACTTATGAAAGACAAGCTATTTCATCCAGTAACAGACACAATCAGAACTTCAAATTCAAGCGTTTTCAGAACATTAATCGATCATAGAAATTTTACTTCCGCACACCAAAACTAAGAGCATTCCTTTCTCTCACATCATAAACTACATCCAATTTAATATAATCAAGCTGGATTTTTTTTTCAGTTCCGCTCAAATTAACTCAATTTCAACAAATGGGTTTTTCTCCAATCCCCCAAATCCAAAAAAGGGACATTACATCACAATAACTTAAATTGGAGCTAAAATTAACAAAAAAAAAATTCAGATGGGCTTCTCAGATTCATAAATCTACTAATATCAACTCAAAAAAAAAAAAGATGAGGAAGATTGGGTTTCGTTCAGATGGGGGAGGGTTTACCGTTCAGATAGCTGGTGGCCGACCTGATATCCAATGGCTTCGATCCGACGGGCAGCGAGTTCAGGCTTGTTGGCATAGAAACGATTGCAATACGTTGAAACCATTTCGGTTAGTAAGCTATCGATACAGCTTTCTGATACCTCTCTCCCCATTTTTTTCTCTCCAAGAATGAAAAAAGGCTTACGCCTTCATCTTCCTCCTTTAAAAGTCTTTTTTATTTTGGTGAAATTATGAATTTAGCCCCTACACTTTTACCAAATTGAGATTCAGTTTATTACTGTAACCTTTTTGTTGTTTTCTTACGACTATAGATTGTTGCGACACATATGGATTTAGAAATTGTTAGCTGTTTGTAATTGATGTTTTATAGGATAAAAATAAATAAGAAATTACAATGACACCAAACCTAGTCTTACATGCTAAGACTAAATATGTACATCTTGATTTAAGTTTTCTCGGAGAAAAGGTCAAGTCTTAACAATTATGAGTCAATTATGTTTATTGTATAATATCAAATTTATGATGTATTAACAAAGCCTTTAACTGTTGAATAATTTTAAAATCTTCAACATCAGGTATGTATTCTAGTCTACAAGAGGTCAAGGCCGAACTAGGATAAAATTATAGGAGGGGCTAAGTTATTTATCTTTGAAACTAACAATGTTCTAAAAGGTAATTAAGCCACAAAAAATAGAAGATTAGGGATTAATTTCACTAATTTTGAAATTATTATATCCTAAAAAGTAATTAAAATAGAAAAAGTTAATTGCAAGACTTAACTTCATTTAACTTTAAAACTGATAATATCTTACAAAAAAATAATTAAACTAGACAACTTTGGGAGAGATTAGGACTTATTTTTAATGGTTTCAAAACTTTAAAAGACTTAAAATACAATTAAACCATAAAAATTGGGTGTGCCACATCCCCACACGTGGTTCCGCTACTGAAGAGGTTCAAACAAGAGAAAACGGAGTGAATATTAAAACGAGGTTATAACGATCTAAATGGATTCAATTTAGGGTTAGTTGATAAGTGTTTTTTATTTATTAAAACCCGTTATATCGATATGATGAATTTTATGTATTATAAATATTATTGTATATTCTAAAATAAAAGTGTTTGTGTCATATTTTACAATTTTTTTTAAGGCTACCCTGTTGGTCAAAAAACCTAGTTGATAATGATTTTAGTTCAGCTAATAAATTGACTATATGTTGGCCTTTTTTGATTCATTTTGTTGAGAAACCTTAAATTGTTGGTTTTTTTTTGCCCAATACCTTAGGTGGGTAAAAATATTAGGGTATTAGGCAGATCTAAATTTTATTTAGCAAACTACGGCATTTGTTATAGTCGGCCTGAAACTCGTCATCTCGATATTATTTTTTAATGGTCCCCATTTAGTGGGCTCCACATGGACCATTATTTAATTGGGGTCATGATGACTCATCACGTTGAAGTAGCGAATCAATTAATTTTTTTTTTAATTTTTAAAAAATAAATTTTATAAAATAAAAAAATCTTAGGAACCCGTCACGTTGAGGTGACGAGTTCATTTGAATTAAAAAAAAAGTAATCATTGGTTAGTTGCTGTACAACGGGCAGCAACGGCCAAGGGCCGAGATAATTTTAAAAAAAATCAATTAAAAGAAAAATCAATTTATTTAAATTTTAAGGAATACAAAGTAAATAAATATAAAAAATAATTTTTTTACATGAAACTTACAAAGTAAAAATCAATTTATCTATGTCTTCTAAGTTCTTAACGAATCCGCGGAGTGATCGAATGATAATGTGGCAGGGCTCGTCGAGTACGCTAAGGTCATAGGCCTTGATCGTCGTCGTCGCCTTGCCGAGGAGGTGTAGCCAACACACTTTGTGATCCACCTTCGAAAGACGGTGATGGATTTATGATATTTGACGCCATCATCGTCGTAACTGCTTCAACTTAGCTTAGGTGACCATATAGGATATGGTCCCACTCACCCACAACCTCATGTTCTGTCGAATATGCTTGAGCGTATTGCGGTGTATCCCATGAACCTCCAATCCAATTCGGTCAAATCTCGATTAAAGTATGAAATTGAGGATTGAAACCGAAACTAGTCTAAGATGCATAATAGTACTCTTCAGCCGCATATGTTGAAGCGGAAGAAGACGAAGACGATGTCTTCTTCTTTTACTTGGACTTGGCGCGTGTGGCCTAATGATGTAGTCATTTTGCCTTCTCTTTCGGTGTTGTGAGATATGGTTTTCCATTTTGTTCGTAAATCCAGAGATAGTGGGAATCGTCAAAATCTAAGTCTAAGGGTGTAATGTCCTGATGATGGGGGAGCGATAGTTCACGCTGATTACATAGGTCGATGTAGTAAGCGTGTCTTGTAGACCAATTTTCATCATGTTTCCCACGCGTATTGATTGTATGGAGCGTGTCCATATCAACCTCTATTCCCGTAGGAATCGGCTGGTGCGCCGCAATGACACATCACTCTATCAGTCGCGTGCCACTCAACAATCGCTTGGTGTAATAACAGCGTCACGACACACCATAAGTGAGCTAAAAATCACGCCAGCAATAAGCGGTTGATCTCCTCGTCAACATATGGAAGCCAAGAGAACTGTAAATATTAAATATCACAGTTAGTATATATAAAGTTAAAAATATTCAAAAATAATAATAATAATAGTGTATGTCATACCGCGAATTGATCGGCGATGTCAATCCTCATCCATTTGTCTCATGCATCGGCACCTGCCAAATTCGTCTCTGTTATTTTATGACACCATCTAAAATATTTTAAAAATATATTATAAACAAATAAAAAATAAATAAAATTTTGAAATTAAAAAAAATGAAATTAAACAATTACCTTGCAGCCAGCGGAAACTCGACCGAGGGTCTGTAATCGACGTCAAAAACGGTAAGCGATACCAGTCCCAGCACTGTAGCAATAACAGACAACCTGCTACATCAGCTTTTCGACCACGCTGGACAGTTGTATCCTGGCAAAGGTCCCATTAAAGAAAGGCCAAAATCGTCGAGCCCCAATTGGTATTCCGACACACAGCGAAGTCTTCCAAATATCGTAGATACTGGGTGTGCACCAAGTTGTCAGATTTGTACGGTAATAATATCCCTTCGATCACTTGGAGAAGAAATGCTCGGGATGCGAAAACAACCTCTGCATTGGTAGACTCGTCCGTGACTTCGAATTCGGACTCCAGCCACATTATCATTACTCGATAGCCCCTCATGAAGTTGAATGGTGGCTATTTTCCCAAGACTTGGAGTATCAACGTCGTGGGGTCGTAAAAGTTATGACTCGCGACAAGGGCCATCGTATTTATAATCATTAATTTCGAATTTTCGGAATTCAAAATTAGGATTTTCTTGATCCATATCTGATCTAATTATCCAAAATTTTTATCGGATATCCGATCCGAGTTATCCGAAAAAATCGGATCGAATATCTAAAAATTCAGATTGAATCATCGGATTATCCGAATAAGATATTTTTGCACACCCTTACTTTTGGTAATGTGGTGATGTGCTTGCCAAGCTAGAAAGCAACTTTTCAAACCCCTCACATTCGGATATTTATTTGATAAAATAGCTTTCGTGTACCGATCAGCGTCCTATGGACTGTTAATTTCCATATTGCATGCCGATGCCGCTGATTATGTGCCGTATCGTGACTGTGTTCATGTTTAAATAATGCTAAATTCCATTTTGTATAGAAAAAAAAAGAGCAAGAAAGAGAAATTAACTTGCATCGGCGAGTTTTTGGTTGAAGGTGCGGGGGTAGCATTTTGAAAATATGGAGCTTTATAGAAAACGAGGTCTTCTGAAAGAAAGAGAAGTGGTTTTTAGTGAAGAGATTGAGAAAATCGAAAGCAGGTTAAAGAATGTCGAAAAGAGGTCGTTTTCATTATGAAGATTCGGATTTAGGAGGCCGAAAAGGTTTTTTCCCACTATATTGTCCTTATCGGGATGAATGCTTATTTCTAAGGTAGAGATTTGCCTCTATCCCCCCTTAGTTCATTGTATACACCTTTTTCATTTCACTATGATAAAATATTTATTACTCTTTAAACAGGCCCACATAGACTAACAAGCTACGCAAGCATGGATAACTAGTGACATGCCTTTTAGCTTATCAGTAAAAAAAATGTTAATTAATGAACAAAAGATTCTTGTTGCTGTTGGTCTATGATAAAATTCTTAATAAATGAATCAAAATGCACACTTTATGTTTTACGATTTTATATTTTATTCGTTTATCAAATTAAAGAACAATTTTTTGTACAATTTTTTTTTATCTCTTTTCAGTAAACAAATCAAACTCCTAACAAAATTTTCTATTGAAATGAAAAAGTCGTGATGGATCAAAAATACAACGCTCAAAATTCAAAGTTCAAACCTTTGAACGAGACCAGGCCTAAATTGATAATTACGTGTCAAAGAAAAATTACTCATCACACAACACTGTAGATAAAAGCTAGCATGCCATGCCAAAATTCAGACCCAAACTCAAAATAAAAGCATGAACTCGTACAACTAAACTCTGGATATTTTTTATCTCGATTCAAGACTTCAAATTATAAAGATAGGACGTCTTTCATGCAAAAATTAGCCACGAAAATTCCAGAATCATGATGACATTACCGGGAGGCAAAGAAGAAGAAAGAGAGAGCAGCAAAATTAAGCATTCCGCAAAAGATGGTTATTATACGATAATACCTGCAAATAGAACAAGAATAGAGCAATCGATAATGAGGGGAAATTAAACAGTATTTCAGAAAATTATTGACATTGTAAATGATAGAGTTGGCCTATAACACAAAAACATTACAATGATGGGTATTAACTAATAAAAGAATTTACTCTAAGATATGTTAACTTACCGCAAGCTACTCTGCCACCAGCATTACCTGTGCTTTTGCTAAGTTCATGCCCACCTGCAAATATAATAGCAGTGACATTTAATGCCTAAATCATTTGATATATATCTTGGTTATTATAAACGAGTAATAAATAAATTATTGAACATGATAATGCCCCTAATATAACTAATCCATTTAATTGTTCTTGCTGGATACTTAAGCTTAGCTAGAAGCAATCCACACACTTGCGGGCATTGCCAGATCAGCTAATCTACACAGACAAAATCATGAGCCATAAGGGTGTATTAACATTTCAAATTTGATTTTTCCATTGCAGCCAGGTAGAAAAGATAGTTGGTAAGCGGATCAATCCAAGAAGTCGACCACTTATTAACCAGTTTTTTCTAGATTAGAGAAGACTCAAGTATAACAACACTAAACAACTTAAGCAGTATCAAAATTTTGAACTATTACCCTTGCCAAGGTCATCAGGATCTGCATGGACAACAACGGCTCTTCCAATAATGGAGTTTGGCCCAGAGAGAGGAATCTGCCAAAGCATAATATCACAACGTTCAAAACTGAACACAAGTGTATAAGGACATTAAATTCACACACACAGGGAAAAGGAGTTGAAAGAGAACCTGTTTGTCGACAATTGAGAAACTAGAAGAGCCTGGACAACACAGATAATATTAACAATGTTAACCATACAAGAAACATAAACACCAATTACAAACAGAAAAAAGTGGAGTTTGAACAATGAAAACAGAACCTAATATAAATATTTTGAATACAGTTACAAACTAGAAAGCTGACGGTTATTTAAATAAGGAAAACATTCATACCATCATCACCAACAGTGACATTTCCAAGATCACCAGCATGGCGATTCTCATCTTCAGGAGCACCGTGCTCTTTTCCAGCGGGATTGAAGTGAGGTCCTGCAAGGAGATCAATCATCAATAACGAGGAATTACATCCAAAATCAAAATAAATCAATAAAGTCAATCTCCTGCCATTTTCCCCGTTTCCCTTCCAATTCCAAACAAAAGGGAAAACAAATCTAACATTCCAACTTTCAGACTTTTACCTGTTGACATGCAACCATTTGTTGTGTCACCAAGGGCATGAACATGGAATCCATGAAGGCCAGGCTTTAGACCAGAAATGTTCCCTGTTACGGTAGTTGGACCTAGGAAGGGCAGAAAAGGTTAAATAACTTCAACAATAAAGGCATAAATACAGAGACCAAGAAGTCTGATCAGGATTGTGATTTACCATCTCCCTCCTGAGTGAAGAAAACAGTTCCCTTAACACCTTCACTGCTGCTAAGGACGGCAACGGCCTTCACCATTTTTCTAAGTGATCTAAATGTTAGATATGGAAGTAAATAAACTTCAACCAAGTAAAAGATGTCTTTAATAAATACATTAATGAAAACGGAATAAAAGACTCAGATTAAAAGATAAGCTCTTATTTGACAAAATAAAAGCATAATGGAATAGTATGAGAGATATTTTTAATTTTTTAGCCTAAATAAAACCAGAAGTTAGTTAACATAATAATAAAAAAAGAAATTCAATAAGTAAGTAAAATCTAAGTAAAGAAAAAGAAGAAATCTATATCGATAAACCATATAAGCTGAAAAACGGCGAAATCAATAATTAAGATATAAAGAAATCAATCCGATCGAATCTTCAAACTGAAAATCACCACTTTCAAACCCAAAAAGAAGGGAAGAAGAAAATTGATCAGCTGCCTTCCTAAGTAGATCTTCAATATGTATTTTGTTTAATATTTTTCTTAATTTCTTCAATCATCAACCAGCAAAAAGAATTCATACTAATTTATCATACAACGAGAAAAATAGAGGAAATCAACAAGCAAGTGAAATCTAGGCAGAAAAAAAAATCTAGAACGATCTTACACAAAATCTGAAGAACAGTAAAATCAAGCTCGAGATATAGAGAAATCAAGCAGATCAAAGCTTTAAAACCCTACAAATCGAAGGAAAAGATAGTCAAAAGATGCTTACCTCAGGGCACCCCTTCAGAGTAAACGAAAGAAAAACACAGGAGTGAGGAATGAGTTGAGTGCGTTTGTCTCCAGCTAGGCAGCTACCAATATGAGGGTACAAGGGTAATTAAACTCTCTGCAAATTAAAATAGGATAAACTACACTAATAGCCACTAATGTTTAAGTAAGTTTTCGTTTTTTCTACTTAAGTTTTAAAAGTAACAAATATAATCACTAACATTATCTATTTATTACAAATTGATCCCTCGACAATAAACCCGTTAAAAGGAATGATGGAATGCACAGTTGGACTGTTTAAAGTTGACCACCACACTGGAGACCGTTGACACTCCTTACAAAAATCCAATCCATTGAAACGGATTTCCTTTTCTCCTTTCTTTTCTAGGGATAGGCATTGGACGAAAACCTGGGAGTTTCGACTTGGTTGAGTCAGTTTTTTTAAAAATTTATATTCGAATCGGGTTTTTAAAAGGTCGTGTTTGGATTTAGAGTGAAAAATATCTGATTCGACCCGTAAAAATATATAATTTTACATTATATATTCGGGGATAATTATAGCAATACCTCTTTATATATTATTTTTCAATTAAATTCCTATTTTATCTAATTTTTTTATTATTTTGTATCGAATCAAATTAAGATTTTGTCTAAAAATCAAGTCATAGAATATATATTTTTTGGGTCAGATCGAGTCGGATAAGAGGTGTGAAAATTTTGGGTCGGGTTGGGTCAGATTTTCCTTCCTTCACATTCGTTTGTCGCTCGAGAAAAAGAAAAACAACAGTTCACATTCCCCTTTAACACCCTTGTCACCATTTTTCTTCACTGTTTTCTTTTCATTTATCTCAATGTTTATCATTCACTAACTTCAATACAAACAATGGGTTGAAATATTTATCCTTTTTTAGCCAAAACAAAGTCGCGGTCTTTTTTGTGTTCCTATTTTTTTTTCATTTGGGTTTTTCTTTAAACAATTAATGATCAATGCAACAGATCAATTTACCACGTCCTCACCGTCGTTGTACCAATTTACGTGGCCATGATACTAGCTTACGGCTCCCTTAAATGTTGGAAAATCTTCACCCTCGACCAGTGCTCCGGCATCGAGGAGCTAAGCTTTTGACCGCCGAACAGTTTCCGGACACTGTTGAATCAATTATTTCGTTTAAAATTGATTCCAATAACGTTTCGCTAGATGAGAAAGAGCCTTTACAAATGGACGCCGAGGTCGGTGAAGATGGAAAACTTCATGGGATTTGAGTGTACGGTAATAATCTTCTGAGAACTAATGGTGTCGCTTATCCTGCTCCGACTACCTGTGATATTCTCTCTCGTTATCGAGAAGGTGCTGAATGGAAGCGGAGGAGATGACAGAGGTGACGTTGGGAAGGATTTGCATATGTTTGTTTGGAGTTCGATTGCTTCCTCGACTTTGGAAGGTGGGATTCATGTCTTTAGAGGTGGAGGTTATGGCAATGATCATAGTGGATTAGCTCACCATAATGATATAATCTTAGTCATTTTTTTAGTCTTTCGTTACATGTTTTGATTATGACAATGATTCATGTGGTTTGATCTTCATGTCTAGAATATGATGATTATGGTATAGATGATTTCACCTTCGGTAACAAGCCGGAAACGAAGGGTGTTGGCCATGAATGACCGGTGCTTGCCAAGCTTGGTTCGAAGTACTCCGCAGCCGAACTCAACCCGAAGGCCGAACTGAAACCGACCGCAATGCCCCCTGCTAGTGCCATGACCAGACTCATACTCATCATGGTGTGGCATAAACTAATTCAGAATCTGAACATTTATTCGAGTTTGATAGGTCTCACATAGTCTCTTATTTCGTTCAAGGGGAATGGGGACTGTTCTTTTTCTTTTCTTCCGGTGAAAAAAGGAAAGTGAAGGAAATGGCCAAATGGGAGGAGAAAAGTTCTGTTTTAATGGATTGAGTTTTTATTTAAAGGAGAATCAATGTCAACAGTCTTCAACGTGGTGGTCAACTCAGTTAATGGCGAAACTTGGTGATAAGTTTGGGGAACGTAAAATTTTAAAATTTTCAGGGTTTAAATTAAATTTAAAATTTTTGAAAGTTGTAGTTTATATTTTTTTCCAAAAAAGTTAAGGTCTAATTAAAAGTTTTGAAATATTGAGAGACTTAATGAGAATTTTTAGAAATTATGGTAGGGTTTAATTAAGAACATTCAAAGATTTTAAAGTTTAATCTGAATTTTTAAAAAATTTGGAGGACCAAATTATTTTTTTTGAAAATGTTAAGGGTCTATATTGTAACTTTAAAATTTTTTGGGGTCCATGGCCCCTACTAGTCCCTCTTACCTTCCACCATTGAACTTAGTCCAGGTAAACTTTTAACGGTCCATATGTACATTCTGTCATGCGGGTTTACGTTGAGTGATCAATCTGTAATAAATTAATAATATTAGTAATTAATTTGTTATTTTTAAAATTTTAGTAGATAAAATGAAATTTTACTTAAAAATTAGTGAACGTTGGTGTAATTTACCCATTAAAATATATTTGTAAAGTCCAAAAAAATTAGAGGTTGGTTTTTATATATTTGGGCCGTTCTCAACTTCAACAACAACAAAATCCTATTCTCATAGTAATCAATTATTTATATGTATTAAATTTATTTTTTATTAAAAAATTGATGATAATTTAAACTAAACGTTAATATGTTAATTGGAGATATGATAATATTATATTTTAATGGTATCTATTGACACCACCGTTACGTTCAAATATTTGCTCGATGACATAATATAAATGATGAATTGATCCATAAAATATATCTCGAACAATTTTAAGATTAAATTTTATCGCATCTCAACTAATATGTTACTGTCAAACTCAAATAATCAAAATAATCATTACTTTTTTTTAATAAAAAATAATAAAATTAAAAAAATATAAATAATTAAATAATTATTTTATAATTTTTAATAATCAAAAATATAAAAATAACATATTATAATATGAGAATAATTTTTTAATTTTTAATAAATATAGACTCAACAAAACACCTTTATTCCGTTATTTGGGGGATGATTTGTATATTTACTCTATAAATAATTAAAAAGAGGAAGAGAAAAAGTAAATAAAAGGTAGGACAGAAGTCAACATTGTTACGCAGATATTAGTTTATGAACAAGAAGAAGATAAGATCAGAAGGGAACCCTACAATATTTCCTCGAGGGCAACTTGGAAAATATTGTTAATAAAAGAATAGTAATATCATTTTTGAGTGCTTCATTTGTCTTGCTTTCCCTAAAAGAAGTCGCATCTCTTCATCCTCAGAGTTCAATCATGGCCGAAACCTTTTTGCTCAATATTGCAAAAATAGTTCTGGAAAAAATAGTCAATCTCTCCGTAGAAGAAGTTCGGTTGGCGGCTTGGCGCTTAATGTCAAAACCGATCTGGGAAAGCTGAAAGAAACCATGAGCAGTATTAAAGCTGTGCTCTTGGATGCTGAGCAGCAGCAGCACCGCAACGAGAAGCTACGCCTCTGTATGTGGAAGCTCAGAGACATCTTTTACGACACCGAAGATTTTATTGATGATTTCAAGTGTTAAGCTCTCCGCAAACAGGACGTCAGCCATCCCAACATTAGTTTCAATGTGCGATTTTTAGCTTCCTGCTCTTTGCCTCTCTCATTCTCTTTAACAATGGGTCCCAAAATCAAACAGATCAACCGGAGGTTGAACGAACTTGCCACTGAGTGGAACAGTTTTGATTTAGGACCGAGCCGCAGAGAGACTCACTCTTTCGTTAACTCTTCGGATGTCATTGGTAGAGACAAGGATAAAGAGAACATTATTGATCACTTGAAGGAACCGAGCGAGGATGGGAATATCCCTGTTATTCCCATAGTTGGAATAGGGGGTCTAGGGAAAACCACGCTCGTTCAATTAGTGTACAACGATGATAGAATTACTGAACTTTTCCCATTGAAATTATGGATCTGTGTTTCAGAGGATTTTGATCTTCCTAGATTGCTCAAGCTGATGATTCTCTCTGTTAATAAAGAAGAAAATTGTGATGGTTTAACAGTTGAGTCCTTACAAACTTGTTTGCGGAGTCTTTTGAATGACAAGAAGTTTTTGCTCGTTCTAGATGATGTGTGGAATGAAAATCGAGCGAGATGGATCGAGTTAAGAGATTTATTGAGATCAATGGATGGCTTGTCTCAAAGAAGATCATTGTGACTACTCGGAGTCTGAAGGTCGCCTCGATAATGAGTTTTTTCCACCCTTATGAATTGACAGGCCTCCCTTGTGAGGATTGTTTGTCTTTGTTTACCAAATTGGCATTTAACGATGGCGACGTGAGGAGACATCCGAATCTCATGAGAATCGGAGAGGAAATCGTGAAGAAATGCAAAGGTGTGCCTTTGGCAGTGTTTTTGAAAACTGACGAATCTTATTGGATCTCTATAAGAGATAATGAAATATGGAGGCTTGAGCAAAGTGAAAATGATATCTTACCAGTGTTGAAGCTGAGCTACAATCATTTGCCTTCTCATTTGCAGCAATGTCTTGCCTTTTTCTCATTGTATAAAAAGGAACACCGTCTATTATAGTGATCAAGTTATCCATTCTTGTATGGCAAACGGATTGCTCGAGCATTGAAAACGAAATCAAGAATGTGAGGATTTTGGTAACCAGTATTTGAATGAATTACAGCCGAGGTACTTCATCCAGAAAGAGGAGGATAATGACTTGTATTTCACCTTCAAAATACATGATCTGATACATGATCTTGCATTAGATGTGTCACACAAAGAGTGTAAAACAGTGAATTGCCAAACTGAAACCGTCGACAGGAACGTTCGACATTAAATATTAATTGAGATTATTAATTGCAAAATATTGTCAGCTCTACCAGAGGGGATGGACCGGCTGCCTGAACTTAGGGAACTAAATATTAAACGATGTCCGGAGTTGAGCAAAAGATACCGACGAGATGGGGGTTCAGATTGGCACAAAATTGCCCGCGTACAAGAGGTTCACATTAAAGATAATATTTTGGGCCTGTAATGATATTTGTTTGATGCGTTGAATGTTGTGTTTGCTTTAATGATCAAGCTATTTTTTTTATTTTTGGATCAATCAAGCTTGCTGTTTTGGTTCAGATGTGATTGGTTTTTCATTCTATGTAGCCAGTTGTTTCCTTCCTGCTTCACATAACTTATCCAGAGTCCTTTTTGCCTGCATGATGGCATTTCGTGCCAATCTGTTCTTCTTAAGTCCGGACATTTTGTAATTGTTAGTTGCAAGCTTGTTGCAATCTTCAATTCTGTGTTTGCTTCAAAGTGAAAGAAAATCCTTCAAGAAGCAATTATGGGAGAAACGTTGCTGTTCAATATTGCAGAAAGGGTTGTGGATAGCCCATCATCTCACCATGGAAGTAGCTCGCTTTGCCTTTAACGAAAACGATTTGAGGAAGCTCAAGGAGACCATGAGCAGCAGCATTAAAGCTGTTATTGACGATTTAGAGCGTGAAGCTCTCCACAAACAGGTGGCCAATATTGATCACCGAAGACAGACCGGTTAACAGTAAAATTGGAGGAAGTGGATTACCAAAGCAGAAAAGAGCAAAATCCTAGGGTGCATTTGGTTTACAGAATATAAGATTATCGGTGGGAATGTAAGATTACCAGGGAATAGGAATACGGGGAATGTTGTAATTTGTGTTTGATTGGTTTAGCAGGAATGTAAGATTATCGTGTTTGGTCAAAGGAATAAAAGATTATTAAAATATATATTTAACCAAATTTCCTTATTATATATTTTTTAACAAGTTAGAAAATATTTATATATTTTCTTTAAAAAAATTAAATTCATAAAATTTATATAATTTTTTTATAAAATTGAAAATATAAAAATTTTTAATGAAATGAATAAAATTTTATTTTAACCCCTGAATTTCATATAAAATTTTAATTATAGATATTTTTTTTAAATCTAAAATAGTTTAAGGATAAATTTGTAATTTAATATACGTAAAATTTTCATTATTCAATGACAAAATAAGGATATTTTTAAAAGAATTTTTTTAAGGGCATTTTAGTTCAAAATGTCGATAATTCAACAATATCTAAGGAAAGGGAGGTAATGACATTCCCGGTAATATACTCCAAAAAATTCACTATTGATAATGTAATATTACCGAGAATGACATTCCCGGCCAACCAAACGGAAGAATGTGTATTCCATTCCAATAGGAATCTCACATTCCCCCAACCAAACACACCCTTAGGATGCGTTTGGTTCACGGAATGTAAGATTACCAGTGGGAATAAAAGATTACCAGGGAATAGGATTACTGAGAATGTTCCATTTTGTGTTTGGTTGGTTTTGCAGGAATATAAGATTACCGTGTTTGGTTAAAGGAATAAAAGATTATTGGAATGTATATTTGACCAAATTGTCCTTATTATATATTTATATAATATTACAAATTGTAAAATATTTATATATTTTCTTTAAAAAAATAAATTCATAATATTTATATAATTTTTTTACAAAATTAAAAATATAAAAAAAAAATTAATGAAAGGGTAAAAAAAATTAACCCTTAAACTTTATATAAAATTTTAATTATAGATTTTTTTTTTGTAAATCTAAAATAATTTAAAGATAAATTTATAATTTAACCTTCGTATAATTTTTATTATTCAATGACAGAATAATGATATTTTTGAAAAAAAATAAAAATTTAAAGACATTTTAGTCCAAAACGCCGATAATGTTACAATACCTAAGGGAATGAAAGTAATGACATTCCCGGTAATATACCTCAAAAAATCTACTATTAAGGGGTTCTTGGTTCAAGGAATGTTTGGTTCAAAAAATCCCATATTCCCATGTTTGGTTGGCCGAGAATCTCATTCCCGGTAATGTTTTTATTATCAATAGTAGATTTTTTGGGTATATTACTAGGAATGTCATTACCTCCATTCCCTTAGGTATTATAACATTACCGGCGTTTTGGACTAAAATGCCCTTAAATTTTTATTTTTTTTCAAAAATATCATTCTTCTGGCATTGAATAATAAAAATTCTACGAATGTTAAATTACAAATTTATCCTTAAATTATTTTAGATTTAAAAAAAATATATAATTAAAATTTTATATGAAGTTCAGGGGTTAATTTTTTTTACCCTTTCATTAAACTTTTTTTATATTTTTGATTTTGTAAAAAAAATTATATAAATATTATGAATTTAATTTTTTTAAAGAAAATATATAAATATTTTACAATTTGTAATATTATACAAATATATAATAAGAACAATTTGGTCAAATATACATTCCAATAATCTTTTATTCCTTTAACCAAACACGGTAATCTTACATTCCAGCTAAACCAACCAAACACAAAATACAACATTCTCAGTAATCATATTCCTTGGTAATCTTGTATTCCCACTGGTAATCTTACATTCCGTGAACCAAACGCACCCTTAGTAATAAAACATTACCGGGAATAAGATTTCTGGCCAACCAAACATGAGAATGTGGGATTCTCATCCCATAGGAATCCCATAATCCTTGAACCAAACACCCCTGAAAGAAAATGAGGTAATAACATTCCCGGTAATATACCAAAAAAAATCTACTATTAGTAATAAAACATTACCAGAAATGAGATTCCCTCCCAACCAAACATAAGAATATAAATTTCATCCCCATAGGAATCCCACATTCCTTGATCCAAACACCCCCTTAGACTAATATGAGCTAGGTTACAAATGAAATAGCTATGCTTACAAGTTAATTGAGTGATTTCAAAATATTTGAATGTGGTACGAACTTAAATCAAGTTTAAATTCATGCAACTCAAATTATTAAACCGAGTAAAAATTGATTATCGTAATACTTGACCAAACGGAAAACAGTTCTTCTAAATAAATCACTACAGGAAAAAAGTGACACAAATATAAATCCCATAAAATTTAACTAATAATCCCAACAACTTTATTACGTGATTCCCTACATATTTAGCTTAAAAGTTCACACAAGATTTCACCGAAATGCTAGCGATTGCACGCTAGAAAATCACATCAAATTTCGGCATATGAACCGTCCGACTTGGGTCCTTTTCTAGGCACTTTGCTTGCTGCAGAGCTCCTCAATAAGATCTGCAGCATCTTGAACAGTTGTGATGCTTTGTGCATTGTCTTCTTCAACAGTGATTCCAAATTCTTCCTCCAGCCCCATCACAATCTCAACCTGAAATGGTATTCAACGATTTTAACACAAACCACAAGCAATAATCTTTCAAGTTTAAAAAACAACTAATCAACAAATTCATGCTCTCCTTGATCCTGCACTTCACTTTTATGTTCATAATATGAAACGGAAGAAAGTACGTCATTAGAGATGAGAGAGTACCGTATCAAGAGAATCAGCTCCAAGATCAGTAAATGTTGATTCACCGGTGATTGGTTGGTCATTTTCTAGAGCTAGTTGCTTCCTTACTACTTTGCAAACTTTATCCACGGTCTCTTTTTTGGCCTGCACAATAACATTTAGCTCGAGGGGTCATCATTATGCTATTCAACTGTCACTTCTACATAGATCTCTAGATCATAACTAGCATATTTACAACAAACCCTGCATATGATGGAGAAGATGTACTCCAAGAAAATCACATTAATAAATATGCAGATACAGAGGAGCTCAAAACTCTTGCAAGGTAGGGAAAAACAGACATGACAACAGATATACTACAGGTGACACACACCATTCCCCATGCCCCTTAACTGTGTAATATCACAAACAGTTAAACGATATTTTCTGAAACTCCAATTGAAACACATCAAAGAGAAAATAGTTATGTATATATATATATATTTTTTCATAGGAGCCCAAAAGTGGATTCTTATGATCACGACCACATCTAATATAGATATGGAGTATTAAAGAAACTACTTGGAGTTAGTGAGAAACATACAGCACAGCTAATCTGCAAGCGAGCATGCATTGGGCGCATCGTAAATGAGAGGCTGCTGCTTCTGTGGTTCATAAATGAACCCAATTTCAAGCCAGAAACCCTGCCTGTAGCCTGTTAAAAGATATTCAATAGCAGGAAAATCAGCCAATAATTTACACAAAAAGAATGGTTCTATAAGAAACAACAATCTTCAAAGTTATCTCAACACCTTATTCTTCCAAGCAGAATAGAAACCTTACTTTTCCACTTCAATCATAGCCTATTTTACAAGACTTTAAAAACAAAATACCAAATGCAACAGCAAACTATTAATACTCATAAGCACTCAAAATATCAATAATGTAACTAGCATTCTATAATGATATGTCAAATGTCACGATATCTGATTCACGTTGTACAGAAGGACCTAACTTTACAATATATCATGCCACTCTTATATAATAATCTATACCATCTTAAACTAAAGACGAATAATACCCAGAAAAGCTATAGCTTTCCTCTCTACAACATAACTGAGATGCAAAACAGATCTTCTGGTTATTGCTTTAGTTGCTTTTTGCTCTCTAAAAAGTTGGTAAAACCCAAAACCACAGTTTATTAAAGGAGAACGAATAACTATAACGCAACATCAAATCAGCATAAACCCCTTTTTCAATGTACAAGTAAAAAACATATCTTAAATTTTAATTATTTACATTCAAATTCAATTTTTTTTTAAAATCGAAAGCAAAAAACAAAAGAAACAGTAGAAACAAAACAAAATAAATAAGGGAAATGAATTAGAAACTTTCAGATCTCAAATCAACCAGATCAAATCATCCTTGAAAGAAGTTGAATCAACAAAATGAGCAGTAAAACCTTAAAAACGAAAGTGAGAATCTCGACATTAGACTAAAATCCATATATAAAAAGCAACACGTAAAAGGAGATCAACTAAACCACAAACAGATCCAGCTAAAAACAACCGAACCAACAAACAAATAACAAAGAATAAAAGAAACAAATGTGTTAGCAGCTACAAAGAAAGAAGGGAGAAGAAAATACAAGGGTGTTGCGAGATCGCATAGCGATGGATGAGGCAGCAGCAACGGAAGCCATTGGATACGATAGGAAATGAGAAACGGCGGAGAGATCGAAGTGAGTGCGGGGAAGGTGAGTGATGTGATCAGAGGTTCAAGACTTTGTCTTTTATAGCAGGCCGTCTTGTGATATTGATTATTGACAAAAACGAGTTTTTTTAATTTTAATTTTTTTTTATCGAAACGTGATTTGTGGGTATTCTATGTTCATTTATTATTGTTGGTAGGTGAAGTTGGAATCTTGTCTTGTGGACGGCACTTGGGAAATGAAATGAATCCATTCCGTCTATTTTATTTTATATCTTTTACAAATATGAATGAAAAATATTGGATTTAAAAAAAAAATAAACGTATCTCTTGGAGAATTAAAACTTGATATTTACTAGATTTAAATAATTAGATTTTTTATTAGCATCGAACCTATATATTATCATATGATAATTGGAGAATTAAAACTTGAGATTTACTAGAATTAAAATAGGTTTGATTTTCATTATAATTTGGTCTATCTCTTTTTATAATTATTAATTAACAATATTTATTTTACAAAAAAATATTTACTTTTATTGAGTTTTAAATTATTATGTCTACCAATCAATAACTGTGTCCAAACTTTTTTCTAAAATGAAAAGAACTATATCGTATAAATATTATTATATTTGAAACATTATTATCTTTTTAGTTTTTATAATGTAATAAATATTAAAAATATTTTTATTAATATGTTATTAATTAATTAAAATTTTAAATAGATAAAACCATTTGATAAATCTCACATATAAATCTTTCGAAAGATTTGATGTGATAAAAAATAATATTCTTTTCTAAAACAATTTTTTTAATTTATTTTTTTAATAAGCTAAGGTGATTAACCCTGCTGCAACCATTAGTGTTCGAATATGTGATTCTTAGGAACATCAACGATTCTTTTAACCACTTAGGTAAGTTGAATCATGCCAAAACAAATATTTTTTATTAATTTAAAATGATTAAGAGTGATAATATTTTTTTTGGAACTGAAATTGTCTCCCATATTATTAACAAACGACGAAAATATTCTTAATTATTTGATAATAAATACTTAAATATCATATAATCGTTAGTTTCAAACTCAGGTCCCTGCTATTGAAGTCACTTTATTGTGTTTTAGAAGAAACATTTAAAATTAAGATGTAACAAACTTCATTTAATATTATATTAAAGTAATATGGAATATTTGAATATAAAACTAAAGAAATATGAATCTATATCTAATATTCATCTTGAATTACATTTTTATTATACTATAAATTATGTATATATATTATTTAAAATTATCTCTTGCTTGAACATAAGATACGATTATTTTTATTATTAAACTGCACAAAATTTTATATGAATAAAATATAATGAAATATTGAACCATTTTATACTCGTCTTGAATAGCATTAAAATTTAAACTATTATTTTTATTATTACACTAAAATTAACTAAAAACAAATAGACTAAAGACAATTAAGATTAAATATTTTTTTTATAAAATGAGTAGATTAGGCTAGTTACATTTTAAAACCTTTTTTTTGTCTAAGTTCATGTTTTACTAAGTTTGATTCGAAAATTTTGAATTATTTTAATTTGATATTTGAAAATACTTTTTTATATAATGAAATTTACATATTTCTATAATTAAATTTAAATAAAAGAATAAATTTTCAACTACTAAAACAACAATTTGAGCCGAATCAGGTCAGTCTAAATCACAAATCGTCTAAAGTTTGATTCGAACAGACAAATCACCGAACCGCTTAAATAACCCAACCCAACCCAACACAACACACATCTTTTGCTAACTTGAGTATCAACAAATTAAACTGTATACGATACATTGCAAAAGCCATCGCGGTTCAGCTTCTCGGGCACCCTCGTCAAAAATACTTTACAAGATGTTAGCGTTTTTTAGAACAACTAGGATCGATGCTTAATACGAGTATTTTTTTTACATGTTTCCTGCAGAGTCTCATTGCAACTGAGATAGACTATGTTCACTCCTTTCTGTTGGGGAGCCAGGAACGAAAGGAACAAAACCCGCGTTATCGAACGTGCGCCAGTTGTAATGCACGACGGTGTGCGTTGGAGTCGTAAGAAGTGAGAGAACGGTGCCTGGCCGCTGAACTCCCATTGAACTATCATCGAAGGAGTCCCGAGCACTTCCTAGAAACGGCGTCTGACTGATTTTGGAGACAAATGTCCGGAGGGCATGCTTGTTGTTACTTTTGAATGAGGTAGCAAGAACCTTATTAATGGTTTAGTCAATAGTCCAAAAACCTGATCAGCCGAACCAACAGAAGATACCTGTTGTCTATTTGTGCATTTTTTTTAATCTTTCAGAGAACTTTAATACTAGGCTTCTATGATGTATGATAAAAAAATGATTTTGTTTCGAGAGAAATACGAGTATCCAGACTTTACCTGATTATATGCAAGTGCCATAGATAACTTTCGAAGCTATGATACCATTATCAAGGACATAATTCAGAGGTGGACTTATCCATTTGTTCCGGATATACTCAGTGGAAGTACTGCAATAAAAGTTGAGAGGCAGGGAACTTACCGAGCATCTGGTATAGGTAAAAGGAATTAATGGTTATTATGTATTTGACTGTTATCATTTCATGCTTCTACTGCCTGTTTGAAATGTTTACTTCAGAAATTTCCCTGGACTTGGTTTAATTACTGTTTTCATTTTTTTTTCAGATGTCACATTGTCACGTTCTGCAGACATAGGTTCGTTCACTTTCATTGGGCAAGGCACCAAAATAGGGAATGACACAAAAATCTCCCATTCTGTTGTTGGAGAAGGGTGTACTATTGGATCAAATGTCACAATAGAAGGCTGTTATATATGGAATGATGTTACCGTTGAAGATGGCTGTCAGTTAAGGCATGCAATTGTATGTGATGGTGTAATAATGAAGTCAGGAACTGTTTTGCAACCTGGAGTTATTCTATCTTTTAAGGTATGTTTCCCTTGGAGCACTTTAGACGTTTTTTGAAGTGTGAAATGTCATTATTATTATCACTGTGATTAGTTTTGAATGAATGTTTATATGCAGTTAAATGGATTTGGATCATGTCCCATGATATATCAATAAACACGATAGACTTAAATTTTATGATATATTATGGTAATACCATTATGGGCTGTCTGCCTGTCTCCCAACAGTAGTAATGGAATAGATTGAACTTGTTAGTTTTGTTGGCTTCTCCTGGTTTATTTCTGGACGTGTAGATTAGAATTTCTTTCTACTATTGACACTTCAAGTCAACCAGATTTTCTCTTTATGGGATTTAAAAGGTTTTTATGTTCTTGCTCGGCCAAACCATTTTACTATGTACTAAAAAAAGCTTATCTCCATTGTTAGTAATTGCTATTTGAATAATTACTAATAGTCATTTCTGTTTTTTTCACATGATTTAATACAACTTCCTGTCTTATTACAACCGTCGTTGGTTCTAACATGCCTACCCCACCTGGAGTCCTAACTACACCCTTTGAGTGCGTTTAATCTTAGGCCTTTCTTGCAACCTTCCCCATGGTCACTCTCACTCTTCCAATGTGTTTGAAAAAGCGTTCCAAATTTTGATCCTTGTATATTTCTTATTTATTCCTTAATTACAACATTTTCTCTGGTTATTAATACTGCTGGCATAGTTCAAAGTTATGTCCTTTGAAAGAGATCTGAATGTTTATTTTGTCCAGGTTGTAGTTGGACAACAGTTCATTGTTCCTGCATATTCCAAGGTTTCTTTACTTCAACGGCCAACCCACCTAGATAGTGATGAGGAATTGGAATATGCTGACAGTACTAGTGGCACTGGGGAGTTTCGATGTAAGTTCCTAGAGATTTTGACTTCCTATATGCTTCTAAGCACGTAGAAGTGAAATTTAGCCCAATGTCGATCATTTATTTATGGAAGAATCCTATATATCAGCACATATATAATTCTTTATGTGTTCATTTTTTGTGTGTGTGGTTCAATGTTCAGTAATTTGTGCCTGCAATCTTTATTCTTTCATGTTTGTGGTAAGCTACCATTTATCTTTAGAAAAGAAAGATGTTCATTATTTATGTCCTTATAGAAGTTAACAAAACAACTATTGGTGCAGCGGATAAATTGAACGGGAACATTACACCCGATTTATCTGAGACAGCATATGAGGTTTGTTGTGTGGCTTGATTCTAGCGTTACTTTATGACATTGCTGCCAATTTTGTTTGCAAGTTGCCTCAGAGTGAATATGGAGAAAATGATTTTTTTATGATATATCTTTGGTGATATTATTAAATAGCATGAGGTTGAGTATGGACGTATCTTCATCTCTCTCTCTCTCATGTTTATCTGGCAAATAAATAAATAACTTGGATGATGAAATTCTTTGCGGTTATCAGCTTGGCACCGGCGGAGTTGGTTATATTTGGTCAGTCTTTGAAGGAGTGCAAGATGAAGAATGGAGGCAGTCAGTTGCGCCTATTCCCACAGATAAACTGGTTAAGCTAATGCTGGAGAAAGATGAGGACGAGGAACAGTTAACTCAAGATGGGAATGTTCTCTCAGCTTCAGGAGAGCTGAAAGCTGATTCTGATGATAATGGTTCTGAAGATGATGATAATGAGGACTCTGGAGATGACTATGTATTCTTTGAGAAAGAGGTAATGTGTTTGACTGTTTTAATGGTTATAATATTTATATCTGTTTACAGTTTCCATTATGGTTGGCAGGTGGAAGCTACCTTTTTAAGGGCTGTTAATGAAAATGTCAAAGTAGACAATGCAGTCTTAGAGGTGAATGCACTTCGGTAAGTTGCATTCATTTTAATTTCTCTGAGCAAGCTAAGGCCATTAACTTAGTTGGTGGACCTCTTGACTGAAGCTTTTTGTAAGCACTTTCCTAATTGTAAAATTTATGCTGTCCTACATTATTTGAAAATAAAAAACCTAAAACTTCCAGCGATGGATAGAGTCCATATCAAATAAATATTGTTGTTAACCAATCTTCTTTTCCTATTGGTAATCATTGTTTACTACGTCCTTCCAATTGATATTTTATCAGTTTGACCGAATCCAGCCTTGCTTACTTTATCCCCTTTAGTTTGATGCCTGATCAGCACCAGAACTGTAATACCTCAAATCCTGGGTCAGTAGTTTGGGTCAACCCGAGACCCATAAGTCGAGCCCATTAGATTTCTTAAACCAAGTTGGACCAGTTTATAAGGGCATTGGGCATAAGTTTGGCCCAAGAGTATTGGAGAAGTGATGATTTTAAATAGGAGTTAAAGGTGAGGGGTCAAAAGTGTAGTTTTCCCATTGTTAGTTTTAAAGGATAAAAACCCCTTTTTAATAGTGATCCACATGAAACCCCTTTCCCCATTTAGCTTACCAAATACTCTTCCTTTTTTCTTCTTCTCTCCATTATCTTATTCTCCAAGGATAGTGTAAAGGTGACAGCTTTTGTTGTTTTAGAAAAGGTAAGAACCTTAATCTTCATCCTTTAAGCTTCATTTTGAGCCCCACATCTCAAGTTTTAGCTTAGGTTTCAAAAATGGGTTTTAAGGAGGTTTGAGAAAATCAAGTGATTCTAGTCCATTATCGGTGAATTCAAGTTTTAAGGAGTGTTCTTAATCTCAATTCAAGTATTTAGTTGTTTTGGGTGATCTATTTTCTTGCTTTGTTTAGAGAAAGAGGTTGGGGAGAGCTCTAAAGCTAGGGGAAAAGAGAAATTAAACCTTGGTTGATTTTGAGAGAGTTTCCAGCAATTAGTTCATCAAGGTAACACATTCATTGTTCATACCATTTATGAGTCATTTTGAATGTCTTATAGCTAGAAAGTTGGGTTATGGAGCAGGGTATAGTATTTCATGGTAGATTCTAGCATTTGATGTTATTTAACTTATTTTAAGCTCTTTATGACCCATTCTATCATGTTTAAATTTATATTGGACAATTGGAAATGTTGGAATGGTTTTGTGAAGGTTTTGAAGTGTTTAAACGTGTGAAAATTTGAAGTTGCAGAAGAGGTTTCGAAACCCCTTATGGCTGGTTTCAAAACCTTTTGTCCAGAATGTAAATCTAAATGTAACACTCTAAACCAGTACGACACGCAATTGACCGATCAAAATGCTACACAGAACCACCGGAGTGGCTGACCAACATTTTTCTTATTTCTTTTACTTTAAAATGACAATTTTCACAAGAAAATCAACTATAAAAATGCAAATTTAAACTTTATATTGGGGAGCTCCTAAAATAGATATTTACATTCAAATTAATACAAACCAACTTTTAATAAATTGACGACTCAAATTTATAATAGGGTTTACAAATATACATGTCCTTCAAAACTTGATACGTACTCTGATCTGCTTTTGATCTGGACCTCGGTCACTTTAAGCCCCTCAAATGCTCCACTCAATCTGCGTAAGGAAACAAATTCCAAAAATTCCAAATGTGAGCTAACTAGCTCAGTGCCATACTAACAACTAGATCATACTAAAAGTGTATCACTGAAAGACTCAAGCTATCAAGTCTAGTGCTTTGTTTTAGCGAGTATACAAGTATACTCGCTCTCTACTCTATCGTAGACATCATGGTGCAGCTGAGGGTTCTGTATCTCAGAGCTCATACACCCCTCTATTCTATTGAGGATGAGGCTCCAAAAATCTCTGCATCGGACAACACACCCTCGACTAACCCAACCATTGCGAGTGTCGGGCTTTGGCCCTAGTTAGTCAGCTTAAAGTGCCTTGCGCACTCCCTAAGGATATCCGGACTGATTTTATACTTTCGACACTACTAGCTTTTCTAAAGGAACTCGTATGTCCTAGTCGTTTCCCAAGCATTCAAACAAGGCTAGTTTTATGCCCCTTAATTTATCTCGTTTCTAAATGTAATTAAGCATTATTCTTGTTCTCAATTAACGTTTATTGGAAGTTTACCCAATTTGAAGCATATTATAAGTCCACGTCCATCCGTGTACTATTCTAGGCCTATTTGGCCAAATTCAGGCAATGGTTTTGAAACCTACTGTAGAGGTTTCAAAACCTCAGCATACATTTTTAGGGTCTGGTAGGGGGTTTCGAAACCTTTGTGAAAATTTACATTCTAGACAAAAGGTTTCGAAACCAGCCATAAGGGGTTTCGAAACCTCTTATGCAACTTCAAATTTTTACACGTTTAAACACTTCAAAAGCTTCACAAAACCATTCCAACATTTCCAATTGACCAATATAAGTTTAAACATGATAGAATGGGTCATAAAGAGCTTAAAACAAGTTAAATAATATCAAATGCTAGAATCTACCATGAAATACTATACCATGCTCCATAACCCAACTTTTTAGCTATAAGACATTTAAAATGACTCACAAATGGTATGAACAAATTGTGAATGTGTTACCTTGATGATCTAATTGCTGAAAATTCTCCCAAAATCAACCAAGGTTTAATTTCTCTTTTCCCTTAGCTTTAGAGCTCTCCCCAACCTCTTTCTCTAAACAAAGCAAGAAAATAGATTACCCAAAACAACTAAATGCTTGAATTGAGGTTAAGAACACTCCCTAAAACTTGAATTCACCAACAATGGACTAGAATCACTTGATTCTCTCAAACGTCCTTAAAACCCATTTTTGAAACCAAAGCTAAAACTTGAGATGTGTGGCTCAAAATGAAGCTTAAAGGAAGGAGATTAAGGTTCTTACCTTTGCTAAAACAATCGAAGCTTGAAACTCTTAAAGCTTTCACCTTTACACTATCCTTGGAGAAGAAGATGATGACAGAGAAAAGGAAGAGTATTTGGTAAACTAAATGGGGAATGAGGTTTCACGTGGATCACTAATTAAAAAGGGGGTTTTATCCTTTAAAACCAACAATGGGAAAACTACACTTTTAGCCCCTCACCTTTAACTCCTATTTAAAATCATCACTTCTCCAATGCTCTTGGGCCAAACTTAAGCAAGCCCAATACCCTTATAAACTGGTCCAACTTGGTTTACGAAATCTAATGGGTCTCGGGTTGACCCGGGATCTGGGGTATTACAAGAACTGTTCTTGACAGCATTAGCAGAATTACTACTTATTTCCTGCGGAACTTCCTTGATGCCATCTACTTGAGTTCTCCTATTGATATTAATTTTCTTTTCTGTTGCTTCAAAGATATTTTCAAACCAAGCTGCTGTTTTATTTCTCAATAAAGATTAGTTTTGGGCTAATATTTTACCGGACTTGTCTCCTGGCATTTCTTCAGATTGTCTTACAACATGGCATCGGTCAACTGTGCTGGAGCGATATTTTACTCAATGATGAAATTGGCAGTAGAATCTCCCCACAATTCTGCTAGTAAGTGTATTGCTTCTTCTTCTTTTCATGGCCATTCTGGTAGCATTATATTTACACTGCATCGATGCATACAAATTCTTCTTTAATGTAACCATGCATGCGTAAAGGATTTAATTCAATAAATATTCACACAGATCACAGATGCATTTATTTTGAACATAAATAGACTTGTAGCATATGTTTTTAGGGACCTAATCACTCAAGGCAGTTATAGCTGTCTCATCAGCGAGCTGTGAGTTTTTTCTTCACATAAATTCTGATCAACTCATCAATCTAATGAAGCCCCATAATTACAGCATTTTTCAAATTATTGGATCGCCATTAACTAATTTCCTTTTGCCATTCCATGTTCGATCTCAGTGATTTATATGCTTAATCTCTGAATTATGTAGTTCAATGGCTGCACATTGACCCTCTATAGTTCATATCGAACTGTCTTACGTCATTCATGATTTGTTCAAACCAACGACATGGTACTTTATCTTCTCAGAAGTTATGTGCAATCTTTATTACCCTTAAAGTGCTGTTTCTTGATGATTTTGATTGGTATGTTAGAGTGGCGACACTGGCAGAGTGGAGCCATATGTATGTCTCTTAGGATTTAACTTAAAAGTTATTCTGAATATGTTGAAGCTGTCTCCCGTATGTTAGTGCAATTGTTAGCCAATGAGTGCAAATTCATGCAGCAAAGGGACATGATTGGATGTTAGCATATATTCCTAATTATTATTTCTTCTGTTATTGTTGAATGTTTCAATCATTCTACAGTACAAAGCATACATCTTTGCTGCTGTCAATCCTCTTATCCTTATTTTCACTGCAAAAAGAAACTGATCAGTTCATGTTTTATTGTTGACGTCCAGGGTTATGTTTGTAACAACTAACTTGTTTGTCTTCAATCTATTGCTAAGGTGAACTGCATAAAAATGCCGCGGATATAATCTCAAAATGGCAAAAGCTTTTGAAGTCTTTCCTGCACGATATAGATGAGGAGGTGTGTATTATTGCTCTGGTGGAAATTTCGATCTGATTAATAACTATTAATTATATGCCGACGGGCAAAATACATTTTTTTGAAGTGCTACATCTAATTTCCTCTGTATCATTCGTTGGATGGGTGGGGCGACTTACAGTTTATATTACATGCCTAAGTTGGCATCTTCTAATGCACACTTTTCCTATTAGAATTTAGATAATTCTCTATATTTCAATTTTGTGCTAAATCTTTTTCATGGCATTGCCTACCAGATTGAGGTCATCTTGAAATTTGAAGAAATGTGCCTAGAATCTGCTAAGGAGTTTGCCACGTTATTTCCACAGGTATTTCTAATGATATATATATGTTTGGTTGATAAGATCTGGCAGTGGGTAGTTTTTATGGTAATAGTTACAACTTGCAAGTGAATATGTTAAGTTGGGCAATTCTTAATGAGATAATGTGGAATGATATTTATACAAAAGAAGTGGTAAGAAATGCGTTCTAATACGTACCATCATCCTCGTTTAATTTTTCTTCCACAGATTTTGCATCTTTTATATGATAAAGAAATTTTACAAGAAGATGCTCTTTTGAGGTGGGCTGATGAGAAGGAAGGAGCGGATGAAGCGGATAAAGTGTTTCTCAAGCGTTCTGAAAAATTTATACAGGTAAAAAAGACAAACCTAATCTTTCTATTTTTCCCAGCGTTCATAAGATTATTCATCTGCTCTAATGACGGTTGCATAAACACTGCTTCTTTGCTCGTCTTTTCCCCTTTTAAGTGGTTGAAAGAGGCTGAAGAAGAAGATGACGAAGAGTGAGATAAGCACGATTCCAAGTGTTATTCTTTTTATAATATTGTGCATCAATGATCGACAAACGATCATGACTGTTTAGCTCATGCTTTAGAAAACGGGCGGATGCTGGTATCATGGAAAAATTTCTGCCATGGCCTTTAACCATAGTCCTCTGTTTGCAAGTTTTGTTTTTTGTTTGTTATGTGGCTAATAAAGTCATTCCAGTTTGACACCAGAAGTGTTGTATTTGAAATGATAGCTGGGCAACTATTCACATATTTGGTTCTTGCAATGATTTTACAATTTTTTCCCCTTTCCTTTAGCATGAATAGGAATGGTAAAATTTCATTAGGACCATAAGAACAAATTTGCAAGGGAAACAGAAAAAAGGCCAGAAATCTAGAAATTCCACAAGACAACCACAGGGTTAATTAAAAGCGATTATTATAATTAGAAGCATTGGCCCACAGCAACCGTCCAATATGCATCAGCAAGCACAGGGCATAAAAACTGTTTGAATTAATGTTATTCTTATGGAACGTTTTCTGTCAGAAGGTGACCTTCGACAAAGGGATCCGTTATTGTCCATCTTATTTCTTATGATCATTCCTACATTCTGAGCAGAATCGCATTCGGGGCTTTCTTACCAGTTGGAATAATGATGGGGGTCATGCATTTAATCTAGGCGGACGATAACTTATTGTTTCAGAGCTTGAAGTTTGGTGTCTCTGGGAGGTTTTAGACATCTATGAAGGGGCATCAGGGTAGAAAATTATAGCAAATCCAACATTTACTTCTGCCGTCACTAAGGTTGGCGATCCATTTATTTATTTGGGTATGCCTTTAGTGATAGGTTGCAACTAAACTACCACGTTCGATTTTGTTCGTGATAAGGTAGTTGCCCAGGTACTTGGTTGGATGAAGCATCTTCTTCCTTATGATGGTGAAGTCTTCATCAAATATATTGGATAAACTTTGCTAACATACATTATGGGCTCCTTTCTATTACTGGCGGGGATTGTCGAGGAGAATGTTGTCCTTGGTGATTATTAGTGGTATGGTTGTCCTTTTGAAAGAGACTAACCTCTTTGGCTCGGACATCTCTAATATCAACCTGAACAAGTTGAGGGTCTCGACTTTCAAAATATATTCCAATTTAATCTCGCAAACAGATATGACGCTGTATTCAGTCGCCACAAAGCCTTCTGTACAGCCAATTGTATTACAGCCTCCTTGATTTTGGTCCTAACCAGAGGTGAAACTACAATGCTGGCGGCTAAATAAAGGCCAAGAGGGCCTATTTTGTCTATGATCATCCCATAGATAACCACAGATTCCGTGGAGTCATCGTGCAGCGACAAAGCTCCATTGAGGCATTATCTTATTTTCAGGTTTTTGTTCCCTGTTTTGAGCTCTGGTTCGGCAAAAGCTTCTTACCTCGAGTCTACCGAGGAAGCAACCAAGTATGCTTGATACTGACAGTTTGTTATCCAATTTTTTGGTACTTCAACCATATGACTTCTTTTTAGCCTACTTTTGGTACTGATTCAATTTCTGGTAATTCCAACTGTTTGAACACCTCTTTGTCTTAGTTTTTGGTAGCTTTATTAGAAAGTTTGATTTTGAGTGTTGGAGAACAGTTTCACATGAATGAGGAATTGATACTTTTCAAGAATTTATTGATACACGTGTAATATATATAAATTCTTTGTTTTACAACAGCAGCAAAAAAGGCAAGCTCAATGCAGAAATATATCTGCAGAAAATTGTTCAATTATCATCTCTCAAAGCTGCATTTTCATGTCCTGGAATAATATCTGATGACGTAGCCAAAGTGGATTCACTTTGGGAAGCTGATAAGGTGCCTAAACCATCATAAGGCCATGGAATAGGGGTCCAATACCTTCTACCGGTTCCTACCCTGCCACTACTTTGACCACTATTCCTGTCGCCATTCGGCTCGATCTTCGAATCATCCAACGGCAACTGAAACCGGCAAACCAGACAAGAGCTATGAAGTTCCACCATGGGATAATACACCCAACATGGAACTTATGCTTACACGGCACCTCTTTCTCTTGGGTTCCAGTCTCGAAATCCTCCAAACATACTGGACATTGCAAATTCTCTTCGGGTAATGGTTGGCATTGCTTCGACTGCTTCCTTTTGTGCCGGCGGGGTTCCGTAGCGATTCGGATCATTCTCGGACAAATACTGCATCAAAAGATCCCAACCAGGTCCCATGATGTTATCACCACCAAAGGAACTAGTTGGCCTATGACTCAGGTTTCGACTGCGATTGACATCGAAAGAGCCTTGAACAACCAAGGCTTCTTCATTGATTGGACAAACAAGATCATTCTACCACTCCTATCTCTACCATCCTCAGAGTTCTCTGATTCAGAAGCTGCCATTGTACGCATATCCTGAAGCATCCTAATAGCTGAAGTTGATCCCCTTGTTCTTTGTGGAACCGAGGACTCGGATTCTCTCCCGAGCTCATCATCTTCCGGCGAATCCTGCAAGTTTGTGCCATCGATTCGATCCCGGCTCTCGATATGCGACTGCGATGGAGGACTTAAACCACCGATCAAACCGAGCAAGATGGGGGCCCAGAGTGAAAGATTGTTCACTGATCCTGAATCAACGGCGTTGGTATTGGAGTCGGAATGATCTCTTATGCCGGCCATTTCTTCAACAAATCCAGAATCACAGAAAGGGCATTTGATTTCGGGATCTGTCGTTGAATTCACCACTTGAGAACACACGTAAACCAATACCTACTTGCTTGCCTATCCCCCATCTTTCTCTTCAAAATACCACACAAATAAATTAACACATGACATGATACGAATATATAAATGTATCTAATGAGTCAAAATCAATATAACATCTCATTGATCTCAAACATGATTCAAATAACATAATCACAACGGATACATGAATGCATTAAAATATATCGAAGAAAACGAAGGTGGCATGATTAGGTTTATCTCAAATGATCCAAAACATGATATTATTAGAAAGTTACGCAGAAAGAAGAATCCTTCGGGAAGATTAACATAAAGTGTTGTTGATTTTAAGACGATAGAAACGCATTATTGCATGGTACCTTGGAAATGGAGGATGATGGGAACAATTGGTACGAATAAGAGGACCATGATATGGAGTTTACGGTTAAACAGAAAACAATGCGGTCCTCTCTTTTTCTTGTTCTGTTTCTCTACACGGAATGACAGTTTTAGGTCAATGTTGGTTTTTACCTATCATTTTGGTATGCGCAGTTTCTTAGATATAGGGTTTTTGTTTTGCTTTTTCCTTGTAATTAACATTAGGCAATTAGTTGGTTCAATTTAGGCGCTCTGGTTTAGTAGGCTGATGCAAAATCATAAATGCCATTTGCTACAGCAAATTTTAACTCCTGAACATTTCTGCGCACTTGGGACCCAACAAATCGCACCTCTACTTAAAACTGGGAGTACAAAGTATAATGGGAAAACGAAAACATCTTGCAGTTATAAGCCTTGGAGAGGAGACGATAAACCAAGCATGCACGAGTTTCGATTGCATAAAATTCTTACATCAGAGTTGCATGAAAGCGAAGCCTTCAAAAATCAGACAATAAAAATTTATATTTAGAATTGGGTGGGGTGAACCAGGCCCGAGCAATAGTGCAACACTTAGGCGACACACGAGAGCCCCAGCAGCAAGCTGCTGTTATGGACCCTCCCCCTCGAAAAATAAATTTAATATCATGTGGACCAATGACCCACGTATCAGATATTAAACTGATAAGAACAGATACTACACTTGATCTTAGCCAAAAGGCCGAGAAAGGTATGCTTCTTCTGGTTCAATCCCGTTTCTTTTATAAACTGCTTCTGGCCTCGTCATTCTATATTCTAAAGATGTGGGATTTGGCAATGTAACTTCTTTTTCATTTGTTGGCTGCTTCCAGCAGCTAAGGGTGAACGAACACCTTTGATTTTACACGTTATTCAATGGAGATAACCTTTCTTCCTGCATTCGTCTCCGACAACTCTCTTTGCAATCCATTTCTGGTTTGAGCCTTTTTCTTCTAGTGCATCTCCATGGCTATATGTTGAAGAAAACAGGAGAAATAAATACAATAAAGATATTTAATTCTTTACTTTCAAGATAAACCCTTGTTCCCAACACTTAATTGACACATTAAAATCGAGGTTTGATTTTAAAACACTTATTAAAGCTTTGATAAGATCGTTGCAAAAAGTACATACGCAAATGGACTTATCACTGATTGTATCATCAGCAAAGGTATATCTTATATAGAGCTGGGTATACGGGCTACAAGCCCGTTTAACCCGTGAATTTTGACGGTACGGACTTAAACGGAGCGGTTTAAAAAGCCTGCAATCATAAATGATCTTGAATTTTAAGGCCCGTGACCCGTCCATTTAACCCGCGAGCTAAACGGACTTACCCGCGACCCGTTAAATAATAATAATTTTAAATATTTTAAATGCAATAAAAAATAATATTCTAACTTGCTACACCTTTAAATAATACCATAACACTATTAAGTCTTAATAAGTCTAAAATAAATAACATCATAACACCATTATATAGCTTTTGAAAGTTTTATGTCTAAAAAGATAATTTTTTAACATAGTTTAATATCAATTTATGAATTTTTACCTTATAAAATTAGTGGTGGATATCAATATTTGACATCCATTCTAGAATTTGGGTGCTCTTAAGAAAATATTTCCATAAATGATGGTGTAAATTAACTATAATAGAACTTATTGAAGTAAATTTCTTTTCAATTGGGTCATCAAGCTACAACTTAAATCATCAAGGGACAGTTCTAAGAAGTTGTATAGATTTACTTGAACTAGAATCAAGAGACATTGATTGTTTGTTGTTGAAAGCTTTTGTCCCTATGGAACCGAAGAGAGAGAGAGAGAGAGAGAGAGAGAGAGAGAGAGAGAGCATGTATGGTCAGTTAAGCAATAAAAAGTGACAAAATCCCAACACTTGGGTAGGATTAAGACCAATTAAAACAACTAATAACCTTTGGGGTTTCCAGTGGCATGTGCCTGTCACTCAAGTCCAAATAGATTGCTACAAATTCCCTCCATTTATGGCATTGTAAATATGCGAGGCAACAAGCCAAACGTCTTGTATAATTGTCAATTTGTTATTTGAGTTACCAATCGTATTAAGGTAAGACTAATATTGCTAGCCTCATCTCAAAACAAAGGAACGACCCCACCCACGCTGCTGACGATATTGCTGACTCAACCCTTAAGCTTTTGTGGTAGCGTACAAGACTCTATATTAAATTTTGTTAGACTGAAGATAAAATCCTTTCAATAGATGTGCTTTTAAATGATAAAGACTGCAGGTGACACGCGTCACCTCCTCTAAACTAAACTCAATATGTAAACAATGGCCAATGGGTCCACTTATCTCCGGGCTTGCTGACGCAGTTGCTGACCTAGTGACCTTTTCGGCTTTTCTCTTCCCACTTGCGCCTCCCCCGCCCCTATATATTATTCAGTTTTTGTACAGCACACTCAAGATCAATCACTCCTCTGAACCTATTCTCATCTCTTCGCTTTGCCTTTGCCTTTGCCTTTGCCGATCATTTGTTCCCGAAATGGTTAGATTCTCTTTTCTTTTTTTCTGATTTCGGTTTCGTTATTTGCATTTTGTTATAGAAAAAAATCCTTTTTCTTTTTTACCCTTTTCGATCTGCTTCGAACAGGATCTTCAAGATGCCATTGCTATGGCTCTGGAATTTGTGTTGGAAACTGAGAGGCGAAGGAAAAAGCAGTTGGAACATGCACTGGCCGAGAAACGAAGGGAACGTTCGATGCTCGCGAGAAAGAAGCACCGCCTGCTGCGAAAGAAAGCGGCCGAGCAAAAATTGTTCGACGATTTCATGGTATTCATTGGCGCAATTGAGAATAACGATCGCCAGATCTTCCAGAATTTTGATGAAAACGAAATGATGAATGCTGTTGTAGCTATCTTGACCGGTAATGACGATAAAAATGGAGACTTTTCCGATGATAATGGTCAAAGGTTGTATGATCAGAAGCATAGAATTGAACTAGTTATTGTGATTTGGTAATTAAACTTGGGTATAAATTTGCTAATGATTTTGCTGTTGTTGCGTGCAGAAAGGATTGATAAGGAGCTTCAGAATGCTCAGAATCTCGGTTATATTCAGGGTACAATTAGTGACGGCAATAGTCGAAGTGGTAACTAAAAATTAATATAATTATACGTATGACTTCTCCTTACATATTGTATTAATTTAACAGTAATTTTAATTTAATAAATTTAACTTTTTAATTAAATGATGATAGAGGTCACTAATAATAAAATTTCTCTAATTTATATTTACAAAATTCTCCAATTTCAAAAGAAATGAGACACGATTTGCACTTTGGCTTGAAAAAATAAAATAAAAACATGATCATAAAACTCATTAAAATGGACAAGACAAGCATTTATTGTCCATGATCAAACCAAGGACTAATGTGGCAGATGTTGCTGTCAAAATCATCCCAAAATCCACGACAAAAAAGAATTAATGGTTCAATTTTAAGTACAGCCCAATTTAAGCCAGGTTTAGACAAAATAAGCAGCAAGGTGAACCCTTGAAGTAGAAAGGGATTGAATAACTAGATTTGCCACTTGTCAAGGATTTGAGCGAAATTCTTTTGGGCTTCATCCGAGATTAATCCGGCGAAATTAAAAACAAAATTGTGATGGGAACTAAGATAAAATTAAAAAATTCCGAGGACCTAGGTGAAAATTTTCAGACTATAAAATTTAGCAATTACATAATTTAACTACGAAAAAAATTATTTACAATTGAGAAGGCAAATGAGATTATTTTTATTAATTTAATATGTTACTTTATCTCTTTGATAATTGTTAAAGACGGCATATTCATTTTATAAAAAAATTAAAATTTAATATTCACTATATAACTTTTAGAAGTTTAATATCTAGAAATATTATTTTAATATAATTTAGTGGTTATTTAAAACTTGTATCCTACAAAATTAGTAGATTAATTATGGAATGATCCTTTAATTTTTAATGTTTACTTAATAATAATAATTTAATTAATAGTATATTTTAATATATTATATTATTATTTTGATCTACTAGTTTCACTGTGTACTCCTCTTAATACATTAATTGAGCTCGAACCATTTGAAATCTAGATTTTTCCCCTTATATGTCCGATCCAGAAACACCTCCAATAAGTAATCGGTTAAGGCTAACCATTTTTTACTTCTGGAAATTTGTGCAATAATTTTGTGCTCCAGCAATCGGCCGATATCGACAGGCGGACCAGTCCCAGCGCCCGACTACGCTTGATAAACCGACTAAAAATCTAGACAACTTTGAAATTTTTTTGGCTTATGCTTTGATTTAGGTAGTTCTGTTATGCCTCAGTATAAATAAGACTAATCTAAGATGATTTTTGAAATGATCATCCAGCTCAGTTGGTATAGCATAAGGTTCTTAATATTGAGGTCGTGGGATCGAGTCCCACAGAGGGCATTTCATAATTCGGAGGTCTCTTACGGAAGCTGCTCTCAACCTGGTGTTTGAGTAGCCTACTATCTTACATCTCCTTACCCCATATATATGGGAAAAAGGGACAACCATTTTAATCTAAGATGATTTTAATTTAAAATGTTATTATATTTAATTTAAAAATTCATATAAATTTATAATAATTTTGATTACAATTGAAAAATTACATTGTGGGGAAATTTAAGATTTATAATGAAAATATTATGAAAATTATATCGTGGGGAGTTTAGGGTTAATAATAAAAAATATTACAAAATATGTAGCATTTTCGATTTCAATTTAAAATATTACTTTGTTTAACTTTTTTTTTGAAAGAGGGTACTTTGTATAAAAGGGGTACAAAGTACACCACCTCAAGGATCTCATTAAAAAATCTCCCTAATCCTAAATGGAGAAAAAAGAGAATACCTTGAGGTGGAAAGGATCTAAAAACAAACAATACTTTAACAACAAACAATCCGAACTCTAGCCAAACAACGAACCGCAGAACCGTTCCAACATAAACTAACGACAGGAATGAAAAAAGAAAATCAAAAGGATCATACACAAGCAACATACCCTTTCACACAACCCACAACCTGAACTCAACCAGCAGCAGCAACCAGAACGGAGCTAGAAGAACATCCAACAAAACACCAGCTCCCTAATTGCACCCACTGCCATATTTCCAACAGAAAAAACTGCTCAAGACAACACAGCCAACCCAATTCAACCAACCGAGAAAAAGAAAAACAACAACGATTGAAGGGATAGCAAATCAACTAGCAATTGCACAAGAAAACCAAATGCACGACCACATAGAAAAAAAAGAAACTGAAGCTTCCAGAACGCATGCTCGAAAATGATCAGCCACAACACCGAGAGTGCACGAACCCAACAACGAGCCCACGTTTCAGAGCAGACATCCACCAACAAACACAATACAAAAAACTAGAGTCGAATAACTATCATAACAAACACATATCAGAAAAATCCCACTACTAACATCTCCAACCAAACAAAACAGAATCGGGGCAACGAACAAAGTCTTGAATGCTCGGAACCAGCAAGGGCTAAAGCGCATTAGCCCACACACCTATCTGAACCATAGCCGAGAAGAAAATCTGATCAGCCGAGAAATACTTGCCCTGAAACCTACTTTTATTACGACACAACCATAACTTCCATATAATACCGAAGAATCCGATAGACCATAGATCCTATAAAGACTTTAATTTTTTGAGAACACCAAACCTACAGCAAGTCTCTAACATTCGAAGGAAAAACCATACAAATATGCCACACGGAACACCAGCGTTGCCAAACCTGTCATGAACTCTCGCAATGAACCAGAATATGATTAATATATTCTGGAAAACTATTGCAGAAGGAACAAGAAATCTGATCAGAAACATGAACTCCCCACTTCACCAGTTCAGGAATAACCGGCAACCTTTGATGCACTGCTTTCCAAACAAACCCAGACACTTTTAGAGGAACTAATTTACACCATACAACTTGCCAAATCGGATCGACCAACTTGCCTTCGGAAGTCACAGAATGATAATAAAATTTTGGGGTGTATCTTCTATCAGCGGAGCCCACCCATTTTAATTTATCGTGAGCATGAGCTGAACTAGCAGCTAGATTAATAACCTCCAAGAAATGCGACCAAAGAGGAATTTCCCAATCAAAATGACCCTTCCTAAGATCTATCTTCCATTCCCAAACACCATTCACCCAATCCAAAATTTATGGGGAAAGATGCTTTAAGAGAGATCAAATTAGACCATCGATCATTCCAAAAATCGATTTTCTCTCCATTTCCCATAATGCATATAAAATCATCGCACACATTCCCCACATGAGAAGGCATCGGATTGACAATGTTACGCCAAACCCAAGAAGAATTACGCGAATAAACCTCTTTTGGCAAAATATCAAGGGGATCGTAATTGTACTTAGCAACTATGATTTTTTTCCAAAGGCTATCATTCTCCTCGCTAAAATGCCAAACCCACTTATTTAGCATAGCTCGATTTCTGGTTAGAGCATCAAAGATACCCAGACCCCCATGAGATTTCAAACCACAAACAGATTTCCAATTTAACCAATGAATTCCTCTCTCCGAATTACCCTTCAAGACGAAAGAGGCGATGACTTTATCAATAAAGTCAACAACACCCTTAGGAATAGGGAATAAAGAAATGAAATAAACAGGGAGATTAGATAACATTGATCTAATAAGAGTAAGCCTGCCCCCAAAAGATAAAACTTTAGATTTCCAACTTTGTAAACGAGACTGAATTTTTCCATCACTGGATGCCAAAGAGACTTCGAATTCCTTTTGTGCCCTAGCAGAAGACCCAAGTAAGTCGTAGGGAGAGAAGCACATCCGCAATTAATTGAAGACGCCCAACTATATATCCTGCTATCGTCAACATTGATACAAAAAATCTTAGTTTTATTCATATTTAATTTCAAACCTGCAGCCAGCTCAAAGATTTTTAGAGCACGACTGAAATTTTATAAGATCAAAACGTTAGCAGAAGAAAATACCAACAAATCATCAGCAAATTGGATATGAGAAATATCTATACTTCCCGACCCAATTCCAACACCTTCACACAATCGAATTTCTGTCGCTTTCTTTAACAATCCACTTAGCGCCTCCCCAACAATATTAAAAAGCAAAAGAGATAAGGGGCAACCCTGCCTAAGGCCTCTCTTTATTGAAAAATTGTCCGAAGGGAAACCATTTACAAGAACATCAATAGAAGAGGTCAAAATGCAGAAATGAATCCAACTTCTCCACCTTTTGCCAAAACAAATCTTCTTAAGAATAAAATTCAGGAAATTCCAATCGACTGTATCATACGCTTTACTAAAATCAACCTTAAATAGCACAGCTTCTTTTTTTCTCTTGGAAAGGTCGTCAATGACTTCGTTGGCTATCAGGACACAATCTGCAATCTGTTTACCCGAAATAAAGGCGAACTGATTTTCCCCAAGCACTTCTTTGAGACAACAATCCATTCTCTTAGCCAGAATTCGAGATACTATTTTATACAAACTCTCCACCAGAGAAATTGGTCTAAAATCCTCTGGATTAGCTGCCTCACCAACCTTCGGAATAAGGGCGATAAAAGATTTATTAAAAGTAGTATCCTCGACTTTGCCCCAGTAAAAGTCAGACAAAAACAACATGACATCTTCCTTAATAACCATCCAGAATTTTTTGAAAAAATCCAAGGTAAAGCCATCTGGGCCAGGCGCTCTCAAGCCATCTGACGAATTAATTACGAACCAAACCTCTTCTTCGAAAAACGAGCTTTCAAGGAACCTTCTAGAGACAACACACAATCTCTTAACCGAAAAATCCCATATCTTTACAGGGATTGTCTTCACATCATTGAAGAAACCCCTAAAGTATAAAACAAAAGCCTATTGAATCCTATCTTGACGTTTTAACACCGAATTATGAACCTTCAGTTTGTTAATCTGGTTTCGCCTTGCTCTATAAGAAGCAGTTAAATAGAAAAACTTTGTATTTCTATCACCTTCTTTGAACCACCTAAGTCTCGATTTTTGGAGCCACTCTTGTTCTTCTTTCCGCAAAATGGCCCACAACCGAGCCTTCAAAGCAACAAGATCAGATTGAACAGAATTAGACAAGGGGTTCAAAATACATTTACTTTCTAATTCATCAATTTGTTTCTCAATAATTTCCACGTTGACGAGATTACTATCACGAACTGATCTTACTCTATCTTTTGTCACGACCTTAGTAAGCAGCAGGGACTGCATAATGTTTTTGCCTCTATTCAACTCCCATACATCCTTGATTCTACCAACAAGAATGTAATCTTCACTCCAATGGTTGAACCATTTAAATGGCCGGATAAATTTTCTACGGTTTTTAACTTTCAAGAAAACTGGATTATGGTCTGATACACTCCTTGGAAGAGTGAACTGCAACAGTCCCGGAAATAAGCAGGCAATCTCAGGAGAAATTAAAATTCTATCCAGTCTACTAGCAGCTGTAATCGATCCGCCCCTAAACCAAGTGAATCGACTGCCCATAATTGGAACATCAAGCAACTCCCACCGAGAGATGAAATCTTCAAAAATTCTCCTCGCAGCAGGAAAATCAGAAGCCCCAATTCTTTCAGAGACAAACCTTTCCACGTTAAAATCCCCTCCCACAACAATTGGGCAATTTAAGCTTGAAATTACATAATTAAGTTGGTCGAAAAAATCATATCTATCACTTTGAGAATTAGGCCCATAAACGTTTACAAAACTAATCTCCAGATTGTTAATCAAAAGAATGCCTTTAACCGTAACAATTCGCCTATGGGTAACCTTGCTCTTCATCTCAAAAATATCTCGATCCCATAAAGATATAATACCTCCCGAGGCTCCTACAGACGGCTCAAAAATAAGACCCCTATCAATTCTGCCCTTAAACACCCGATCAGCATAATCAGAGATCACACCCACTTTCAATTCCTGAAGGAACAATATACTAGGCTTATTATACTCTAAAATCCGACTGATGGCTCTACATTTAAGACTTTTTCCCAAACCTCTCACATTCCAACTAATAACTGAAAAACTGCAATCCTTAATAAACGAGCACACATACGGAAAAATCTAACAGAAAACCAATCAAAATCAGAACTTACCCGAGAGCTCAATCTGCTCCAGTATTTGAATCACCTTATCTTTCGAACCAGTAAAAACAACTCCCAGGGCCTCACCAACAGAAAACGTTTCCATCGCTTCTTTTTCTAAGCCCACCGGATCAGCAGGAGTTTCCTTCGCCGAACAGCCTCGTACACCTGAACCCCTTCTGACTGACTGAGTCATATGACACATTCTCGTACTTTTCTTCTTTCTTTTTGGAGCAGCACTTTTAGCAATACTAACCTTTTCTGCCCCAATGATACATTCGTCAGCACTTGAAGAAAAAACAAAGTCTTTTGATATGGAAGAATCCTGAATAGGCTTCACTGACTGAGCCAAAACCGTCCCGCGTAAAGATGGAAAAATACCCTCACCCCTTAATCCCAAAGAAGATATCTCTTCGATTGGAATATCCAAAAGCCTTGAGATGTTGGATAAAGATTGATTATGCCACTCGTGCCTAACATCACGATTAAGGGCCATGAGCCCAACACTATCATCTGTATACATAAAATTGGGCCCATCATTAACTAGAATGGGAACCTCATACAGAGACTCGACCACAGCAACCCCCCTTTCCACCTCATCCTCCTCGAGCCCCCTACTACCTGCCTCTGGTCTGTTGGAAATTTGACTCCTCTGACAGATTGCAGCATTGGAAGAAACCATATTATAATCAGCCTCGGAACCAACACTATGCACATGTTCTTCTTCTCTCGATGAAACTAAACCCGCTTCCACTGCGTCTGAGCACCACTCGCCTCCGCCCGACATCGAGCCATCTATGAACATTCTAATCTTCTCCTGATCTTTCATTGCAATTTTGATGGAATAAACTATTCCATTGCAAACAATGAAAATTTTCTCCGGAATATCTGAAGCGAATTGAACTTCCAACAAAATCTTTGCAATATCAAACCTTGATCGATTACTAGTTTCTTTATCGATCTTCAAGACTTTACCCCACAAACTACCCAACTCTAAGAAGAATTTTTCACTCCACACTGTTAATGGAACACCCGACAACAGAATCCAGACATTGAATCTACCTTTGTTCTCATAACCCTCCAGCAATTCTAGCTCATCAAACCACCGAGAAACCCAAACCTCTCTATTGGACCAGCACACCTGACGAGCAGTTTCATGTTTGAATTGAATGACAACCAACAAATCATGCCAAATACTTACCTTCACGTCAAACCCTTCTGCACTAAAAGCTGTCTTAATAATATCTTCATTGTACATACTTTTTATTTTCCCCACCAGACAAGAATTTCTCCACGATACCTCCTTCTTCGCAATACCGATTAATCTATTAACCTCACCATCCTCTGGAACTGCCCTCGAAGCTATACCATCATCAATAATGAAATGAATCACATTATTCAGACATGAAGAGAGAGATTGCTGAATAACATCAACATGTTGCTTAGAGCTCTCTACGACAGACTGCTCCCCTCGAACTACTGCCTTAAAAGACCTAAAATCCCTTAACGAAGGCTTCCAAACTTTCTTGTTGCTTCTGACAGCCTCAAACCTCTAAAATTTAGAAGCTCCCTTGTTATCATGAAAAACTCTAATCTTAAAGCCGTCCATGATCCTACCGTCAGCTCTACGAACAGCTGAGTCTGCTTCATATTTGCTTCTGAACCTAACAAAAGCAAAATTTGAATCGGCTGTAATTCTTCGTTTGCTACTATACGCTACAAAGACATCGATCACCACTCCATAGGCCTAGAATGACTCTTTTAGGGATTCAGAGTGAATCCTTTTGCTCACATTATCCACGAACACCGTATGCCATTTCAGACCTCGACCCCGCCTCTCCATCTCTCTATGAATATATTTTTTTGTTAAGAAAATATTTCTACTTTGTTTAACTTAAAATTAGATTCTTGATAAAAAAATTATTGTAATTGTTTTTTGTCTTTTTTAGTATTTATATTAATATATTATATTTTAAAAATTTCAGCTTTATATATATACATGAAATTGATATCATTTTATTTCAAATTTATTTAAATTTAATCATTATTTTTGTCTAAGTTCATTTGAGGTTTGCTTTAGAAATTATAGTGAGTAACCCAGAAATTTAAATAACAATATGTTATCGGATAGTAGTCATTATATAGAGATAATGGTATCGTTTGGAATCATTATTGTCTGACCGTGATACCTGCAATGATTGTAATAACATATGTTATATTCGTAATCGCAATAAACACAACATAATTAAAAACGCTGTCGTAACCGTAATTTAACTTCTTGACGTGGAGATACTAATATTCTAAAGGAAGCTCACGGAGACGGTGCTGGTGGCCTTGATTAGCAGCTCAACTGGTGTTTTCAGGTGTTTATTTGGATCAAACTTGTGGGGCTAAGTTATGCCTTTATATACTATGCAACTTTAAAAGGTTTTTAATTGATAAAAGTAAAGGTTTTATTTGCTAATTGCATATATATATATATATTATTTATATTATATTGATTAATTGATAATTGAACACGAATGGCGAACGTTAGTTGATTAATTCTCATATCCTGAAGTGGAAAAATGAATCAGCAAATATTGATATTCACGTTTAGTTGGAAATAATCTTTCTTCTTTCATTCACCTGAGACAAATCTCTGATCCATTTCTGATGGTTTAATTTCATAAGTGTTAGGTATGACTCATAAATATACAGGTAAAGAAGACAGAGGATG